CTTATTAAGAAAGTTACAACATGAGGTTTTTGTTTACAATTACATTAATCAACGTAACGTGTATTCGTTTAATGTCTGAATTGTTCTTTGCAAAACGTTGAGCTAAGTTGTGAGGTCTACTACGAATAAACTTTCGGTTCGTCTTTGCTAGTCCGTTGAATGTGGTAATTTGTAACGTATTCCGCCAAAGAAACCGCAAAAAATCGACGAATAAACGCCGCATTCATTCCCTTGTTTCGAGATAAAGTGCCTCATTTTACTTCAGCTTTTCGGTGGAAGAAAGACAAGGTTTGCACACGTCACTGCAGCAAACAAATGAACTAATTCTCAATACTCAAAAAACATCCATTTTAAATTTACTTACAATGACTTTCCTTGCCATTCAAAACTGACAGAGCAGAGGTAAATCCTCGTACATTAATCGTCGATGGAAATGAATAATACTTTTCTTAAGATCACTGACTGTTTCGCAAAAAAAACGTCGGAATGTTCATTTAACCCGAGTTTTACTGTTGTTCATTCAAAAGAGGGGGCTTTTTTTCGCGCTTGCTAAGTGATAGCTGTCAGAATTTGAAAGGAACTAATAAGACAAATGTTTCAAAGTTTTCCTGGAAGCCTTTTAAATCTTTTTAATCATTCCGTCCATCCACCCCTCTATCTGTCAACCTATCAATAACAAACTTCTGCGACGACATAATGACATTGGTAGAACAGAAATGGTCATCCGTTAGAGATCCCAGTCAAACAATTCTTCCAGCTCATCCAAAATTGCCGAACTTGCCGCCATCTTCTTTAGAAAAAGCCAATGTTTGTTTGAAGTCGGTCCTAGTCGACTGCATTACACCTTTTTGCTCGGACCAGCTCGGATCCGCTCGTTTTATCGCCCAACCTCCCTCTGCCCTGCTCCTTCTCCTTGTACAGGCAGAGCAGTGTCAAATGACTTGCTTCAATGTGGTTGAATAACAGCCTTCACAGGTGTGAAGCGGGAACGCATTTATGTTAACAAACAGCGACGCCCCGAAAAATTTCTAGTCGCTTTTTCTGGTAAAGTATTTTGGCTCGAGTTCTGATCTTTTGAGAGTTCATTCTCGGCTGATATTCGGTCCATTTTCGTGAAATTGGGAGATATTGTTGATACCCAAAAGCATGTCCCGGATTTTTTACTTTTTCCTTATTTCTCGAGATATAGCGTCTACATTGAAAACTTTGCTCGAAAGTAATACTGGTTAAGAAATTTTAAATTTATTGATTAGAACGCGTCGTCTAATAAACTTATTATGTAAAACGTGTCGGCGTTAAAGCATAAGCTCCGATTATGTTCAATCAAATTATAAAATCAAATTACATATCCAAAATTAGCCTGCAAATCAGGCGTAATTTAGGCTAGCAAATGCTAAGTAATTTCATAACGAATATTATGTCCGCCATCTTTGATTTTTTTGGCAGCGGAAGGCTGGGGAGAGGAAAAATTTATACCAAGGGGGCGGTCGACGGTCAAAAATGGCCGGTTGAACAAACGATCGCGAGCTTTTAGCGTTAGCTCGCACTAACAAGACGCCTGCACTGCAGGCTAATCCGAAATCAGTGTTTATTAAGCTTAAAGAAAGTGAATACGTTTACTGGGATATTATCACAGCGCGCATAATTTTTTCCGCCATCTCAGTTCGAATGAAAACGCTAATTTTTCCTCTGTGATACCTTCACCACTGCACCTTCAATTCATATTAAGAGTCAATACCTAACAATGTATGAATCCATCCATGATCTCTCGTAAGTTTCCTCAGTGAATCAAAATGACGAGCCATCGCCGCAATCATTCCAGGCACTCCTGCTACTGTCTCCAACATAATGATACGACTGTTGGGAAATAGAAAACACATCACTGTTCCTATTTTTTTATGTGAAGACATAAGATGCTCCACTTTACCAAAAAGAAACTTGCTTTAATTTTGTACATCAATATAAAACATTTATTTCCATTTTCAAAAAACAGCATGAAATAACGACACGGCGAACTATTTAGCGGTTAATAAGGGGAAATAGAGCTTATTGTAAAACGCATTTTTTAACATGAAATTTTAACATCACATTTGAAAATGACTTTTTTAAAATTTAGTTAGGAGTTAAGATCCTATGAACTACCTGATAATCTAAATGAATGAAGGGATCTTCTAATTCCATCCCCTAGACAATATAACTTCAATTTGCAATATTATAGATCTCCATGATAAATTTGTTGGTAGACAGTTTCTCCAAGGTCACCTGACAGTCCTCATTTAATAAACTGAGTGACATGAGTACCAATGCCTCAATGAAGATGTCCCCAACTATCCTGACACTGAGGCATGAGACCATGACCAATTGAATATTGTCCTTTCCCTCAAACAACAGGTAATTAAGGACTAAAAGATTGCTAAAATGCTAACTTACTTCAACCACTTGTTCTCTGTCATTTTTCCAACTTTATAGAGAGAAACAATATCAAATGCGATCCTCAAGAATTGCACACAGCCATAGGCAATCTGAAATTTAAAGAAGAGAAAATAAACCTATATATATGAACTTTTTGTGTACTGAGATCAACTTAGGTTCTTCGTGATTATTGTTTGTCAGCCTACAGTTAATAAAAATAATGGATCTATAAATACATGAATGAATGAAACTTTCCATACTGGGCCAAACAGTTGTAAGAAAGCTTAATCTAGATGACCAGGAGTATTATAACTCCTTCCTGGATAGGATGCCAGTCCATTCCTAATCTAGTAGTTTTTTTTTAAGTTTTGCCCCTCACAATTTTTCAGTCTGATAACATGTTTTCTCAACACTTGGACCAAAACTCAGACATTTCAATTTGGAATCCAGCAGGCCAACCCTTGCATTGACAAAGGTTCTGATGATTTTCACTAATAAGGAAAACTGTAGTAATTGTAATGAAAAGATGTTTGATGTACAGTAAACATTTTTTGATTTCCATATTTAAGAATACCTTGTCAACTTTTGTCTTTGTCTCTTGATGTGTAATCTCTACAGTATTAACTTCTTGCTCTGACCTTACAAAAAATATTACCGAGGACTTGTAAAGTTTGAAATCTTAGCACAAAATTGACATTGTGATAAATTATTTCAATGTATTTAAATTGTCTGCACCATGGAAGTTGACTTGAGAATTAGTGTTTGTTACAGTGACAAAAATTAAAGTCTGAACATAAGGATTATTCAGGAGTTGGGGAAATCAAAGAGTGCCTTCCAAAAGTTTTACAAGTTCAGTAATAGTAATTCATCTCCAATAGTGTCGCACTAGCTGTTGGTTAATATGTAATTATTTTATTTCTGTTCAGTTAAATATCAAAAGTCCATATGTCATTTTCTTTTGTCAGAGAAACACACTATACTTCCCCAAAAAATACCCACTCTCTAAGAATCACCCTCCCCAAATGAGAGTCCACCCCCTGGGCTGAGATGTCAAACTTGTGCCTCTCTGGAATGAGTTACCCCCTCCTCCCTTGCTTTCTTTAATAGTAGGGATACAAAGAAAACCTGTATGTGTTGGCACTTTATATATAACTTTTCAAGCTTAAACTAGAGCAGGATTAGTACAGAAGAATAGTTTCTTTTCCATCATGTCACCTCTAGTTATTTCTTTCTCCATGTGCTGGCAGAGTTCCTTTATGCATGTTATCTGTTCTTTTAATTTATATCCTATTGCTGGGCTAACTTAACAATCACCTCCCTTGATTAAGTGCTCTCCTTTTAGCCAAAATATAACATAAGCGCTCAGACACTTACTCGAGGAAATATGGTAACCTAAGTGTACACCACCTGGGTTCACACATCAGTCTAAAATTTGAACAAGCTTTGACTAAAATAAAGACAATCATGAATTAATATGTACCTAAAATATCTCTGGGGCTCAGATTTCTTGTCCAAATTATTCCATTATGTATTTTTGCAAAATAAACCTACCAAATAGGATGTGGCATTCTGTAGATCTCGTTGCCCCTTGTATGATCATCATCTACGCTGTCTTTTTTCTCGGCTCCTGCTTTGAAATGTTTTAAATCCTTTTGTCTTGAGACACCAGTGGTCGATAGTAAACGAACCTGAAATAAAAAATGAATAAAAAATGTGTATAAAAAGAAACTTCTCGTTTCCCTTACAAAGCAGGATAGGATTTGAGAGGGATTTGACCCGATGTCTGTGGGCAAACACCACTATGCGGCCATATCTGTAGAAAAGACTGCAGTTGCAGTTGTTTTACCGGCATTTAATAACCGTGAACTTTCTGCATTATTCCTAGCAGTAAGTTGTAGATATAACTTTTACAACGAAAAAAGCTGATGCACAAATAATGTAAGTAACTTCAACCATATTTCCATTCACTTTAACAGTTCAACCTCTTTGCAACAAAAGTGCGTCATGATCATCATAATTAAGCTTATGTTTTCTTCATTTCACACCAAATAAACATGTCTGGGAATTTCGCCCTGCAATGGGGCTCATGCAAAAAGAACCAAAACAAAAACAAAAAAAGTTGCCGACCACTTAAGTGACGATAATCAGTTCAACGTTCGCTAATATACTGTATGCTAGCGATTTCGACACAATAATAAAGTTCTTATCTTATCCAACTTGTAGAGCTTACAGTGCATGAGTTGGACAATAGAGTTTCCAACAACAGTCCGCCATCTTGAAGCGCCCCAAACCCTGGCAAAATACGCCGATTCAAGGACGACTTGAGAGCGAACAGGATGGTCGGAGAGAAAAACTGTCGGGTCTTCGTGGGAAGCATTCCACCGCGCACAGTGGGGACAACGATTAGTCTGCGAGAGAGAAACTCGAATTTAACATCGCCACCATCGGGTACTGCGTAACTGCATTGACTAGTTCCTAGGCTTCTCTAATCCAGAGGACGTCACGCTAAAGGAAACTGTTTAACACGCGATTATTAAATTTCATTACCATTGTCCGCTGGATTCCTTATCCTTGGTTCAAATTTCATTTTACTTTCCACTAAGCACACATCAAGGATGTAGTACGAAATATTATCTGGTACAGTGGTAACACTAATCTGTCCACCACAACTTTTTTAAGGTTTGTGACTTGTTTTATGGCCACTTGAGAAAGTGTGAAGAGAGTTATTTAGGATAAGTCTGGAGTACTAAAGTGACAAAGGAACAAGAGCAAAAAGGGAAATGATTAAGTTGAAATCCACTGACTCTCCATGTTATCTTTAGCCAGCCACTTCAAATTACATTTGTTTCTACCCAGGGCTTTAATTTGTCAAATATGGACTACCAATAATTTAGCTTGGTTGGCAGAAATCTGATGACCACACAAAAGAAATATGGCAAGCACCTTTACTGACATGACTAAACATTTTAATAGACAAAAGAAATCCTATCACATAAGAATAATCATTAAGTCTAAATCATATTACATAGTCATTGGAACACCAAATTTACACTTTTTAATCAGAATCAGTCCTATGACTCCTTCAAAATTACACTTCAACTAGTTGAACTAATTATGGAAACTACAAAAACATTGCACAACAACAGCATAAATGCTACATGCTAACTCTTACAAAAAAAATTATCTAATTGAGAATATACTTTGGAATAGTGTGCGAGTTCTAAAGTGGGTATTTTAACCCAACACCAGAGAATTGTACTACTTCTAGATTTTTTAAGCAGCACAGATGACATAAAAAGTAATCAAACACACAATCTATTAAGTCTTGAGATTACAACAGTGAACTTTGTTAAAAGCTGCATGTTGATTTTTGAAAAGAATTCTTTCAGTCTAACACTAGTGGTCATAACATGCTTTAAATGTAAATTTCTTGGGACTGTAATTAAATAAGACTACTATGAAGTGATCAACTTTGAAACTTTTCTCACACAATTGTTGGTATACTTAAACAAAATAAGAAACCAAATCTTGATTGAAAAAAGTCAAAATTGACTGGGAAAAGTATTATTTGAGAGCATAGACCTCAAAGAAATTACTTCCTGAAGCATCTGATTAACTTGAAGCTTCAAGGCCTGGTTTTCCTGCTCTAACTTTGATGCTCTCACAAACAATGAATTATTTCTTTCTTTCCTTGCACGACGAAACTTTCTTGAAGCCTGGTTGTTCCTTATTCTCTTATCTGAAACTTCATCACTGCAAGAACTTCCAACTGATGAAGGAGAATCTTGGGAGACATCAAATAGTGCTCCTGCTGCCTCCCCATTCAGCACATCTGAATCAAGTGTTTGTTGCTCAATCATAATGAAAGCTTTGCTTTCCACCTCCCTTTTGCCACAAATATCCAAGCCAACATTCTGTGCTCCGACATAAATGTTATCAGGTTGGTCAATTCCACCAAATTTTTCTTCTGGACCAGTCCAGTTGTTGATGGTCTCTTCACTCTTAAGCAACTCCACATCTGCCATCCAAGACTCCTCCAAACAGTGTCCCTTGCTTCTCTCCCCTGGTATGAGCTTCTCAAGTTCAGCCACTTGGTCAAAAAAAAGTTCTCCAGGATTTGCCTTGTTCCAATCTGGAACAGAATCAACAGACCAAAGGCTGTCACTTTCATCTAGAACTGAAGTCTTGGGAAGATCACCTTCAGTTTTTGGGGAAGCAAGGTCATAAACCCCTACAGAAAGGTAAAGATACGTTACAGCTTTGAACTGTTAATAACACAACTTCCTTGAGATAAGGTATTCACTGGTCCTCATTAACCCCTGGCTTGGCCCAATTTCTATTTAAAACACTTTTGGGTTAAAATGGTATTTCACTCTTTACAAAAACAGAAAAAATGAACTGATATACAGTTAAGAATTAAATAATGATAACAATAATCAAATATATGACTTGTATGGTTTTCTTTCTACAGAGTACCAAACAGTGTTCTTTTAATAATTAAAACCATTGAATAAGTAAGTAACATAATATCAACACAAAACTTCTATAGAAGAAAGTTCTTAAGCAACAAAGTTTCAAACAATATAAACAAAAAAATAATTATATAACATATCAAATATAGAAACGTTTAAAAGGAAAGGTCTTAATGTTCGATTTAAAAGTATCCAATAACTTGCTAAAAAGTCCATATCTATTCTGGTTGAGAGATTTACAGATGCCATTTATGAATATGTCCTTTGACCGTGTATCTCAGGTTAAAAGGTAGGTGTCACAATAGGAGAGCAAAGTTCTCGGAAGAACAAATAGCGATGAAAGTTTAAGTAATAAATGGGGAAAATTAACTAACTATTGCTGAAAGACACGAAACGATCTAATTAATCAGTTAAAAGTTTGAAAATAGCACTTAAGAGGGGGTATATCAGAGAAGTTCGCCGTATTTCAAGATGATGAGTTGGTTGTTTCCCGAGTTAGTTGTAAAACACCGATTGGGCCGAGAAATAGGACTTTCGTTCAGATCGATCGTCAAAATGTGTGCCACTATCAACATCAAAAGTCCTTTCAAAAGACTTAGTTAAAAATCTAACAGGTGAAACTTCAAACTTCAGAGCATTTCCTGTAAACAATTTTTGCGATGTTATCAAGAGATTGATCTAGTGTTCCTGTAGTTCACTTCTTCGGAAAGCATGCAAAGTCCAGAGACAACAAAGGAAAAGTGGCCGTTTACGTATAATTAAATCTTACCAGTGTCAAAGACGAGGCTTGGATTCGTACAGAGGCGACGCACAGAAAGTATAGCCGCTAGTAACCGGCTTTTCCACGTGGCGGTTGGTGAGGGGAACTTCAGCCGCCATGTTGTCTTTCTTGGTCAAAGCAACTACTCCTTTACACTTCCCTTTTGGACGTCCAGCAGAACTCTTCAGATGCATTTCTCGTAAAGTAATCGATAAAACCAGAAAATTCGACCTTAGCTAGAGCCAAACCGTAAACAAATCGTTTAGGAAGAGGAATTTATCTCCTAATAATCAAGGAATGGCGCAACACCGAAACGACAAAAATGTGTGCCACTGGTGCGAGATTAGTTTCGCACTGCATGATGGACTTACAGCTAACGCATAGGCATGCAGTGTGTGCAAGCAACACAACGTACTTTACCACAGGGAAAACTTTCTTGGTTATTGTGAAGTATTTGTACATACTATACTCTCACGACTCTTTAAGGCCAGTCATAAGAGAACGTCAGCCAAATGTGTTTCCCATCCACACAGGTGTTTTACTGCTTATGTTGCAAGTGTTTCAGAAACAAGTAGCTGGTGAAAACACTGTCCGCCGGTACTTTTAAAGAACACTGTGCATATTGCGTGGCTCCAGATCTGATGCACAAGATGCTATAAGGTCTATAGGAATTCCAAAGAAGAGCAAAATTGTTTCTGAGTAAACACAAGAACAAAACCGAATCGAAAATAGGTGAGGTGTATTCATGAACTGAAAAACCCTATGCAGGATAAAATAATTTTGACAAGCCAGCAATCAAGTTTCAAACTTTCCTCCCTTCTCTTTCCCTGAGCCTTAAAAGATAAGTCAGAAATGTTGAGTCTGAAATAAAACAGTTAGACTCACCAAAAAAGTTGGAGCATCAATCTTACTGTATGATTAAATGATTTCCCTGTTTTTGACCCAATTGTTTAAACGGGAAGGGATCCTGATCAATGGGAAGCCATCCTGACTAGACTGAAGAGTATCTCTTTTCTTCTAACATTTTATCTTTTTATTTTTGAAGCAGTTCCATTTTTATTTTCCAACCTCTTTTATTCATTACTATGAATCTGAAGCAAAGGACAGTAAAAATCAAAATCTCTTGAAAAAATTTTAAACCAAGAAAAATATCTCAGTCAAACAACCTCAAACAAAAAGTAGGATTCCGTTTCACAAAGAAAATGTAGAAAGAGTAAGTTAAGAAAACACATCTTTAATCTTTTAACACAACTTGGAATAATATGACCTTGTAAGTTTTGATTCACAAAACGTTGCAAAAAGACAAAAATATTTTGAAATTATCACAGAGGAGGCAGAATTTGTTTCATTAATTGTTTATCTGTGATGTTCTTCATAAAACACAAAATAAATTAAAACTCTTCTTCCTTAGCTTTTTTCAATGTCAATCTTTGGTATCAGCAGTAAGTACTTCAACACCAGAATCTGTTATCAAAACAGTGTGTTCGAACTGTGCCGTTCTGAGAGAGAAAGAGAAAAAAAAAATACATACATGAAAAATGAGAAGTTTAAAAATGATAATACTGTCTGTCTGCATTGGAATGAGCTAACAGATAACTTTCGTCTCAACATCCACTGAAGAAACAACAAGGATGTTAGAGTAGCTTTCCCTCATCAGTATTCGCAGGACATATTTTAAGGCATAAAGTTGTTGTTTGTAGTCCTTCATCTTTTCCAACCAGTTGCATTAATCTTAAGTAAGAATTGAAATGATGCTTTGCCATGGTGCATTTTTGACCTTTTCATTTCTTGAATTTGGTAAAAATTCCCCACAAGCAAACCCTTGATCCTGACTTATACTGGCCCTTGAATGGTTCCTCAAGCCACTTAAGCTCCTGAGCCTTCAAACTTGAAGTAGCACAATTTTCAGCTAATAGTAATTCTTCTGCAGCACGCCACATGAGGACAAATGTTACTGAATTGTATTCATATATCACTAACTATTACGCCTGATTGAATGAAAACTGGTGTACTCAACCTTTTACCATCCTTTGTGACAACAGTCCAACCATCCCCTAGGATAGCTATTTTTGGAGATCCCTCACAAAGGACAGGTTCTGAATATTAACAAATACAGTAAGTGGTTTGAACCCGGGGGTAACATTTAATAGTGTAGTTTGGGTCGTCTGGGTGAGTGTAGTCCTGAGAAGGACTGTTGTCGATAGTCCTTAACGGACTAAACACTGACATACAGTTTACTACCTGGTGAGCCGTGACGACAACTCACTATGGACAACAGTTTACAAGAAACCGACACATACCGACAAATTACTGGACGAGTCGTCCTACAAACCGACATCGCACAAAGCCACAACTATCAGGACTCTTACGCGACGAGCGCAACTAGTATGCAACACGACGGATAGCTTATCCGACGAGAACAAGTACCTTGACCGCGTTTTTTCAAAGAACAACTACAACGAAGACTTCATCCAACGTGACACTCACCGACCTACTACTACTACCGAAGCTAACAACAACGCAACTCTTACAATTACTGTAATTATACCGTACATAAAGGGCGTATCTGAGAACATCTCGCTCATCCTACAACCATTCAATATCCGCGTCGCTCACAAAACCTATTACCACACTACGTCAGTTATTGACTAACGTCAAAGACAAAGACGAACCGAGGAACAGACAGGGAGCAGTGTATAAGATCAATTGCTCCGACTGCCACGCCTCTTACATCGGTGAGACTGGTAGAAACCTTACAACTAGACTAACTAAACACAAACGAGCGACGAGGAAAGGCGATGTCAACAATCACATTGCTGAACATCACCAACTTACGAACCACACTACGGACTGGGACTCTGCGTAATGCGTAACCTACAGCACCAACTACTTTTAACGACTGACCCTTGAAAGCTGGTCGACTAACTTGGAACAGATTCCCCTCAACAGGTGTCAACCACTACCGGCATCATACAAACGACTCATTCATGACATTTACATTAAGGACGAACCGAACAGAACGATCCAACTTCACTAACAGATCGAGACCGACCAATCACGAACGACCTACGCCACTCGAGTCTTACAGCCAATAAAATCACGGCAAAACTGAACAATCAGTTTATACAAACCGGACTAAGAACATTCGACTAACAACAACTATTCACTTGACTCTGATGATGACTTCCGCTCAGGTTGTCGACACGTCAGTCACCACTACCGACAATAATCTTTCTCAGCACTACACTCACCCGAACGATCAAACTACAAAGTTGCTAATGAAATGAACGATACATTTTCACATATACGACCTTTATAATTAGGCAGCATGCTAATGAAAACATTTCTCTTGTGGCTGCCTTAACAAAGTCCCACTAGCAAAAACTCTCACCTACACTTTTTCTTCGTGCATAATCATTCTTGTTAAGTGGTCAGCTCAAGCTATTATGCTTTGATCTGCACCATGAGAAAGTCTGAGAGCACCAGGGATACTTGAGCTAAGAAATCAATACTTGAATAGTAGTGCTATGGAAAAGGACAAGTAAAGGGTAACCATGCCAACTGTCAGTTTGGGCTTTACAAGGTCTACCTTAATGAGGTTCTTGCCAGGTAATATTATACCTATTCATAAAATAACTGTTTGATAGTCAAGATATTTACCAATAGTAAATGTCATGCCTGGTCCCATTTTCCCAGGTTTATAATTTGCTATTGTGAAAAGAAGAGGAAGAGAAGAAGATGAGAAATTAAAGCCTTACATTTCATACAAAATTTTAACCTTTTAAATGAGATTCCTGGGGGAGGAGTAAAATTTGATGAAACCGCAATAAAAGACACGTTGTACTGCTTATCTAGCTTACTGGATTCCTTTAAAAAAAATTGATATTCAAGTGGCATCCAGTTTTCCATTGGTAATAGTGCATACTGCCTGGAGGCTGAGCCAAGAACAATAAAGCTTTAAGATTGTTGGTTTTATCAAATGATCTAGGAAAAATATGAATCAACAATTTTTTTCAGTTCCTGTGTGAAAACCTATGGGGACCTCATTTTGAAGAGGAAGGTAAATAAAAATAACCAGAATCATAACTTTGGAGTTGTGCATGCTTACAAGTACTGCAAACCTGTATGCAAAATTTCTGGAGGTCCATGAAAGTATGATCCAATACCATGACCTGCTAAATTGGGACAAACTGTGAATCCATCCTTCCCAGCCACAGATCTAGAAGCAAATCAAACTTTCCTGATGAAAGAGCCCTAACAAACAAAAACTATTACCAGACACAAACATTACCAACATTAGAGATGAACATGTATGGCAACATTCTCCAAAAATAGCCAAATTTAGTTGTTCTACTTACTCAATTGTGTTTCCAATCAACGAAAACCGTACTCCAGGTTTACAGATATTGATTGCAGCATCAAGACTACGCTGACAGCTTTCTAGTAATCTCTGACCCTGTTTGTCAACAGAACCAACTTCATATGTTGCGCACAAGTCACCATGCATACCACCAATGAAGACCTGAAGAAAACAATAATTACAAAAAAAGGAACACAGGAGTGTTACATATCATACAGGAAAATAAAAAAAGGAAGTTTTGTATTGAAACTTTCTTATAAGACATGATTTAAGCCTCTGTGTATTGATTATTACATTCACAAATCAATAACAGTCACTGTGATAAACTGGTCTTTTGCTTGAATGTGAGAGAATTTGGAGTATTGCTGTCATTTATAAAAAGGCTAAATATTAACATGATTGACTTTTGCAAAGAAATAGTAACATTTCCTCTGAGACAATGTTCTCAAGTTAAATAATTATATAACATATAACCACACACAAGCATTATACTGCATCATTGTAAGTTGTCATACTACTGATCCAAACATAATTCTGCTCACAGGTGCAAAAAATAACTAACTACAAGAATTCATCTTTTAAAGCATAAAAAGTAGTGCACAATGTTCTTAATCAAATAATTACTCCAACAGTATATACCATGTCACACTTACAGAAACATCCACACTTATAATGTCACCATCTTGTAAAGATCGACTGCAATGAAATAAACAAAATATCCTAACAGCTGTAATGAGTAGAGTTTTTACCAAATTTGGTTCCAACAAATCAGTTGTGTAACCACTGAGTAATTAAATTACACTAATCCTAGTCTTATTTAGCCCTGCAGCAATTCTTTCAAATAACGATCGGTAGATCAGATCTTCCCTAGACTACATTGAACAAAATTTTGCAATCCTAGAGGTACTAAGTACTTCCCCACTATATAAATCATGCCATATAAAAATTACCACTAAACCGTACCACAAAAATTAATTATTCCTTGTGTAGAAGCAGATTACCTGTCTGGTATACCATGTACAGCCACATTATTGACAGATGTACACACAGACTTGGGAAACTTTTTGTAGTTCAGAGGAGAGGGGTAGGCTCCAAATGAAATTGCAGCTTGGTGTACAATCTGGTCAATATCTTGTGTTGTAACACCTACCTTAAAAGAAGAAAAAAAATGAGATCAAACTGACTTAGCTCAAGGAGCTAAATATAATGTACAAGATTATAATGTGCATCATTGCATGTTACTCTTTTAAGTCTTCATGAACTCATAATTCATCTATGGAATTCAAGTGTGTAGGTCAATTCTATCAAAATCCTACAGTTCAGTGACTGAAGTGACTTCAGTATCACACATGATCGCAATGTCTTAAAATAAACGTTACCAACTAACACCCATTTTATTGTATACATGTTGTGTCAATGTTCCACTGAAAAATTAATTCCCTTCTGGCAATTAACAATAATTCACCAATCTTTTTGAACTGCCTGAGCACTTGGATGAAAAGATGAAGGAAAAATTGAAATACATCAGATAAAAGTAGCAAAAAAATATTCTCACCTTGATACTATCTCTGGCCACATTGAGAACTTTCCTGGCTGTTCTGCATGCTGTTCTCATGAGAGCAATCTGCTTCTCTGTTTTAATTTCAGTGGAGTAAGGTGGGTCTGGCACTGTACCAGTGTCAGCATAAGGTGGACGTGTAATGTGCAGAGGAACATGGCCAGCAGGAGAAATTTTATACAGTTCTGTAAGTGCTTCCTTTGTATTGTTTGTTGACAAATTTCTGTCATAGTATAACAAAACTGTGCTTAGCTAGTTAATTACTAGTTGTATGCTAAATGAATGTAATTTCAGACAGCTTTCTTTTTCTTAGTGAGGCAAAATACATGTTCATGTTTCTAAGGAATCTGCAATCACTTAACTCCAATACAATTTTAAATTGTTATTTCAAATATGAATTCATAGTTTCATGATCATTTCAGGGGTAGTCCAGGAAATTTGTTTTCTCCATGGTAAAGTTAGGGTTACAGTTCACACACAGTAAACTTATCTCATTTTCTCGATCATGGGACATAAATTAAGTTAAGAGTAAAAACCTAGTGTCTTGGAAGTGTACTCTTGCTGCATTGTAGTGATGAGTTTTAGCTACCAATTGATAAGTGCTTATTCAGAGGTGCCCAGATAGAGAGAAGAAGTGTGAGAGGCTGATGAGAGTTAACTGTTGAAGGAGTATACAAAACCCTCATAATATATTGTACAACATGACATCTGACCTGCCGTTTAAATTAGTAATCCTCTTGTAAAGCTCTTCTTCTATGCCTGTGTAGATAACATTTATTTGATATTAAAGAAGCAAAAGACTTTGGATGTTGTAAAATGTTAGTCTTATATTTCACAATGGTGTTTTAGATAAATAGCAGATTGTTTCACACTAAAAGATCACTAAACCCTTGCTGTTTGCCAAGCTATCTAATTTGGAGTAGAGGCCGAACTCAAGACTTATGGTTATGAAAGAACTTCAAAGCAGTTTATCTGACTAAAAGACCTCTTCGTTGACTGCGTTAAAACTTACGTACCCGATCATTTTTCATAGTCCGTGGCAAATTTTTGCGCTTATATATTCCAAATTTAGTTGAAATAATTTGATCATAACCAGAAAAGGTCAATAGAAAATTGTACTTTAACCACTCTGAAGAGATTTTGAAGCTCATTGAAGTTCAGGTAAATGCAAATTACATCACTACTTCTAGAATATTATATCTCAAAATCACATGTACGTAGAAAAAAAAAACTATAAGACTTCTATATTTACGTACTTACATTTAAGCCTCAACTGCTTGAGTTTGGCCCACATCACCCTCAGCGAAAATAATGGCGTACAAATCGTTGTTAGATCCATGCCCCCGCGACCAATAATCTATTCTTAGTTGACCTTGGGAGAGCTCAGTGAAATTATTGCATCATTAGTTACAGATATCAAAGGATTTATTGACGTTCATTTCTTTTTAGTTCCTTTTATGACGAAATATAATTATTTTCTTGCTGAATTATTCTACGGAAAGAAATCAAGACGATTGAAATTCGGGAATTCACTGCGCCAACCTGAAAAAAGTTCCTTCCTAATCTAATAATTTCTCGCGACCGTCATGGAGAAACTTTTGGATTTACTTCCGCGATACGAAATAATGAAAATGTTACGAAAATTCAGTGAGACTTTCCTCCTTGTTCTCGATTAAGCGAAGTAGATGAATTGATTACTTAAATCGAGCATTTCACCTGAGGGAAGAATTTGAAATATGCAAATACCATGATTAAACTTCTCCATGCTTGTACATCGTAAGCTCGTAGTTTTTTTTTTGCGCGCGTTTTATTCTGGGTCACTCTGTGTTATTCTGTGTCATTCTGTCGATTAAGTCGTCCTTTGGTGTACCTCAGTTATCTGGTATTATTCTATACAGCTAATACGTATTCGACTCTATAAAAGAAACAAAACTTTTTTTTTCTCTATTTCAGTGGATCCAGGGCCAAAGAAAAGAAAATGTGATAGTCCACTTGGTATATTCTAGTGAGCGAAACATTTCATTAGCTGCTTGGTTATATATAAAAAATTGTAAAACATTAAAATTTGAAGTCTTTGGTCCGACTATGACTCATCAATACCGGCCGGAGCAAAACGGATTAAATATAATTCAAGAGGTAATTGCAAAGGAAGCTCTCAATTACGTCAGAAGAATACTGCAACCGCGACTACAAATTGCGTTATCCTACAAACAAAAATTGATTTTAAAAAGCGACAGCTGACAGAAGAAAGGGAATAAGCATCAGACTGTATTTCTTTGATCGTTCTAATGTTCAAAATGGCCACAACTGGACTCCAGCGGGTTCCTCTTTCAATGAGAGGAATTGAAAATTGTTTTACTTTCGTCAAACCGATTTCTGAGGTCGATTTCTTGAGAGGTTTTTTGTGCGGAATTGCACAGCCACGGCGAACAGGGGTAAGTTATAGACTACTTACAGTGTTATAAGGGATAGCGATTAAGGTGAGAAAATAAATCATAGTTATCCAGGGGTTCTGCGAGTAAAATATGACGAAATAAAGCAAAAATATAAGGGATATTGGGTTCACATACATTACGCAAGGAAAAATTAACGAAAGGAGTATGTCACGAAAGGAGCACATACTCGCGAAAGTAATATTTTCCTCCGCCGGGGAAATTATTTCGTTTCTTCGTTCTCAGTAAACAGCCGTTATATTATGATTACCATGATGATTTTTACAATTATTATTATTATTACTATTATCATATTAAGTATTATTATCATTATTACCATTAGTAGGAACTTTTGTTACTTGCAGACTTCCTTGTTTTCCACAAATGCCATTCTAAATCAAAGTACATCAGAAGTCCAACAACCAACGCCAGTGGTAACCACTCCATCCAAGGAAACAGCCATCAGTCATTTTGGTAAAAATGGAAGCACAACTGGGGATGAAGCCTACAGAATGCCACACCCAGTCTGGTACGAGCCTCTAGACAACGTAATCTCACGATACTATCTATTACATCTATTGATATATCATTCAGAGTTCATAAAACTACGTGAGAAATTAAAGACTTCACTTACAAATTCAAGCTTTTTAAACTAGCTGTTTTTTGTTTTCATTTAGGACGGCAGAGGATGTCCGCAGCGTGAAAATTACTCACCAAAAACCACAAAAGTTTGTGGATGAGGTATTGTTTTTGTTCCTAGCGATCAGAAGTCATATGTTCTTGTAAGTTTCGAGACTGAAAGGTTATAAATTGAACGTCATGCCATGCAGCAAAATATGGCTTACCTGCCACAGTGCTTCAGAGCTTTTTATAATATGTCTACATAATCCCTACACATCCCAGGTTACGTTCGTTTAATTTTTACTAAGTTATTGGTTAGATGGTACTGTGGTGGAGAAATTTACTGGAAATCGTTCGTGTGTAATTTTGTATCTGTATTTTGTAGTCAGTTGAGTGATAATTCCATTTCATTCTTTCTCTTAACCTACAGCTTGCATACAAAAGTGTTCAGGCCTTGAGAGCAGCATTCGACATCATATCATTGTATCGCTTCATGGAGCTCGACGAAAACCGCTGGCTCAAGTAAGTTTGAGCTGGTTTTCCGACACTTTAGCCCCCCCACGTCGGTCTGTACAACCAGTAAACTGACCTGGGCCACGTCTTGATTCCAAAGCTGGCCGCAAAGGTGGCGTAATTTTTGTAATTTGTCTCTAATTGGAAAAATACATCGTTGTACACGGAGGAAATCAGCGTGGCTAAGACTTTTTTGACTAGCTTCTTTTGAAGCTGGATTTTTTTTTTGTGGTACCGTTTACACAACATATCTGCTTAATTAAATCAACAGTCGGATCATTATGTTAGAGACAATAGCAGGAGTTCCTGGAATGATTGCTGGCATGACAAGACACTTCCACGCGCTTAGGAGGCTCCAGAGAGATAATGGATGGATACACACACTTCTGGGTAAGCGAAAAATAAAGGGTGCGCTGATTGTAAATTGAACTGTGGTGGCTTTCAACAGAATCACCTCGAAGTCAATTGATGTCTTTAATCTTTAGAGGAGGCTGAAAACGAGAGAATGCACTTGATGACAGCCCTGGAAATGAAGCAACCTGGGATTTTATTTCGGGGAGCAATTCTCCTAGCTCAAGGTACCTCATACTATTTATTTATACTCTACGTGAATCATTTTCACAGCCAATTTTGGATTCGTTATGTCATGATACTTTGAGCGTACTGCCGGTACAAGATTGTTACTGTACTCATTGGCTCTCAAGAATGATCAGTCCAGAAATTCACCCAACTTGCTTATAATACTGTCGAACAAATATCAAAGGAGAATAAAGACTTTTTTAATTTTTCTACCATCAAATGAAGTATATAAATACAAGAATCAAAAGTGACGAAGATGGAATAATCATTACGTGAATAATTCAAGATACTATCAACAAGAGGATGCAGAGGGTTCATTTAGGAGAATAGAAAGCTTTCAAATCTTGAAGGTAGGTGGCTTAAGCCTCAATGTCCCGTATGTGAAGGGACCAGGAAGTGCTTATGTACAGTTATACTAAGGATAAGAATAACTTGTTTCTCCTTCAGAATCGTTTTTTTTTTAAGCGCGTTTCTGAACATTTCCATGGCTTTATTTTCTTCAGGAACGTTTGTAAACCTGTTTTTCTTGGCCTACCTGATAAGCCCCAAGTTTTGCCACAGATTTGTTGGTTACCTGGAGGAGGAAGCTGTTAAAACGTATACTCATTGTATTGAGGTATCAGAGCACCCCGAAGATTGAGATTACCGTCTTTTCTAGTTGGCTTAGCCGGGTTGTAATTCGTATGTCTTCTAAATATTCCCCAGACTTCATCTTATCTTGACTCATTCATCTTCTATGTTTGTAGTGTATCGACAGCGGTAAGTTGCCTCTGTGGGAAAATCTTTTGGCTCCCAAGATTGCTGTTAATTACTGGAAATTACCGGTAAGAGTTTTCCGCAAGTTAGAACAAAATATTTTTCAACCTGAAATGATAAAGGTTTTATATCCATCTTTTCTTTCTCCTTCTTGTTTTTGTTATTCATAGGAGGGTTCAAGGATGCGTGACGTCATTTTGGCCATTCGAGCTGACGAAGCTCATCACCGAGTTGTCAATCATACTCTTAGTTCCTTGCCGCTATGTGCACCAAACCCATTCCATCCCGGAGAAAAAAAGCTTTGAGGAGACTGAGGCCAAGAAATAGAACATAAATTGTTCAGATTTCAAGGAGCTGTCAGTGCCCTTCCTTATGTTCTCTCTTACTTACGTCTAATTTAATGTTTCACATACAGAGAAAGGATCGCAAAGACAGATAGGGGGATCAAAGTCTCCTTGTAACCAATGGAGGTGGATAAAATATAGGGTCTTTGTTTCTGTGTTTGTGTTAGGAATCGAAGAGGGAGAGCAGTAGGACTAAGCTGTCTTTAAGGGTGTCGTTCTCTACACTGGGAACGATGCTGCAATATTGTGTAAACCGAGTAATGTATTTTGTAACGTAGCTCATGTACTTATTTGAGCTATCTCTTTGTTAAAATTAACCATTTTTTTTATTTCAATTCCTGAGCTTTGATTGGTTTACAGGCCAGGTTATACGAGTTCGTATTAAAAAATCTTTCTCGTGGAATAAATTGCTATTTCGTGCGGTCTTTCGCAGATCTTAGACATTTCTTTGGTTGTGTTATTAAATAAAACAATTATTCCCCTCTCAGACGTTGGAAAAGAGATTGGTTGTGGCAGGCGAGTCGAGGCGAAGGACATACCATCTCATTTCTTATACGTGCTGCTGGAGTAATGGTGAAAAGCGTTTCCTTTTCGCGCGTTTTCAAACAGCAGACCCTTTGAAAACTCCTCTGATTCAAAATTGGAGAAATACCAGGTTTTCTTTTACAGAATCGTATGATTGATTTGGCAAGAGTTCACAGACAGTTGAAAAAAAGGAAAAGAGATGTTCCTTGGAAAAATACAACTACTTCGTAAATAAATAAATTTAATCGACAAACACATTAAAAGGTCGATATTTCACAACAAAAACCTCCTCTACGTACAAGACTTTATCCACTTGTAAATAAATACTCTAAGTAATAACTCAGTTGTGGGTACATTGTTTGTTTTTCGTTTCTTCATGGCCAGCCAGATTCCTTTGACTCCAATGAGTTCATGCATGGGAAGTTCTCGGGATTTTTTCAGATTTCTTCAACGATGATGTTTGTTAGATTTGCCAAGGGAGCACGTTTTTTCTGAGGAAAAGAAGAATTTTTGTAAATACTTAAAGCCAAACAAGCTCACTGAGAATAAAACATTCTCATCTCAAGCAAATATGAAAATCTAACATGTGCACTTACTGTTTTTCCCATGATAGGTAGAGTCGTGGTTCCTTTTGTCAAACTTCTCTTTTCTACAAGAAGAGACTTCACTTACTATCTGTGTACTCAGCATGTTCCTTACTTGTCCAATAGGATAGTCTCAATTTCATGTATTTATTTTTTTAAGCTTTAATATGTATGTGTACATTCTAGCTGAATTAAATAAATAAATGCTACTTGATTCACTTTGAAATGTGCTGCAAAACTAGTCAAAAGATGTATTCAACACAGTGCAAGCAAAAAATATAGATTTATTTTGGTTCAACCAACTTAAATTTAACTTTGACCAAACAGATCAGGGACATAAAAAAATAAAAGATTTGATGAGATGGATTTAATCATCATTTTCTGGTGGTTTATTTTTTAGGCTGCAATGCTTGATAGTAGATCAAAGTACTTGTTGGAACAAAAAAACTTCCTAACTTACTTTTTCGTGTTGTGTTTATTTGGATTGCATCACCAAACAATCTGCTGTCAGTAAAAGGGTCTCCTCTACGCAATTTGCTGTTGACATAAAACCAAAGAAAAATTCAAAGAGACATCTCTCGTAAACAGAAGTCAGTTCAACACTGCATACCATGTCTTGTCAATAAAATCCTGGTAAATCAACCTACAAACATGACTCTGAATGATAAAATTTTTACAGGACTCCCTAACATGACAAAGACATCATTTAAAATGACCATACTGTAGAGTTCAAAATTACATGAAGAACAAGCATACACATGCATAGGAAACAAGACATGGAAGAAGTAATGTCTTTTACATAACCTAAGAGGCCAACATTCCCTGCGCTTAGTTATTTGCTTTCCATTGCCAAAGGCACCTTAGAGTATGGCTTTACCACTCCCCCATTATAGAGAGTCATTAAGGTTGTACATTTAATACCTGCGAAGTCCTGGCTCTACATAACTGACACCTGTGGTACTTTTTCTCTTCATGTGGCATCTAGCAGGCTGAGGCTGGCTGGATTCCTTCCTTGTTTCATTTTGGTCCACCATGTTACTCAGAATTCCTTTTTCCAAATAAATGGGCAGAGCATTTTCAAAACATGTCCTTAAAATGAAGTAATTTATTTTCATTTGAATATTAATACATATTAATCAGAAATTACATTTCAGGATATTATTATTTGAGTGACACTAGAAATTAAAAATTTCTAAATCTGCTAGTGACCTTACTCTAAAATTCACCAACAATTCATCCCGTCAGGAAGCCTTACTGTAAGTGTGAGTTAGAATCTTCAATATTTTAGGACCTTACATCAAATTAATTCAGTCTATTTCTCTGTTTCCATCAAAACTGTGTTAAACCAGATTTCCAAACTCCCCCAAAAAGATGTAAAAAACATTCAACTGTTGAAGGTATTTTTGATATTTTTTTCCATTATCTGGAATGTGGTCAAGCGTTGTTTCTCACACCAGACTTAGATAACTTACCACAAACTTACCTCTGTCCAAGTTTTTCATGAAAACCTCATTGTTCTCAATAATGGTTGATTGTATATCTGTGATCTCCATTGCTGATGGTTCATCTGGTGGAGGAGTGGTACACACACAGTTTGAGACAGGGTCCATATAAGGAGACACACTGTTTGATACTACATGAATAGTTTCATGCTTGTGTCCTTCAGCTGGAGCAAGGAGAGAGCTAAGAAGATGAAGGGCTTCTGACAAAAAGTTTGAACCTTGAACAAACTTGCCACATGTCTGGTTCAGGAGATTATGGACTTCTTTAATTCCAGCCTACATAAAATAAATAGAGCAGCCATAAACAATCAAGTTACCTTAATATGTAAATAGTCTGATCATACCTACATATCTATATAAAGTTGCAAGATTTTAGAAATAATTCTAAGCATTTTAGTCTTAAAAGAATAGCAGCAATCTATATGAATATTTAAAAAATTATTCTCAGGGCCCCTTTAACTAGTTAGTTGCTAGTAAAACTAGTGAGCTATGAGAAGAAATACTGTGGAATTGTAAAATGTTCACCCTGCAGTTTCATGAGAACCCTAACCATTCAAACCAAAAAGGGCTTACATGTCCCAAGAAAAAGTATAACTTTAACTCAGGTTTTCAAACCCTCCATTCACACTAGTTCCTTTTTTCCCAGAATTTAAAAAATCTGGATTTGACAGCTCTTATATCAGCTTTATGAACTTGAATGAAGAGCTACAGCAAAGAACTAGTTTTATGCTTTCTTGATAGTTAACACATGATTAGACAAAATTTTAATGGACCACACCTCTGCTTTTGATGCAAAATCATTTTCTGAGATCTTCTCATGGGAATTCAATTGTTGTTCTAACACTTTTGTTTTCTCCACAAATTCTAAATGACTGTTATAGATTTTCTTTTTAAGCTGGACATTTTCACGCTGAACAAGGCAAAGTTCTTGCTGGGCATCCTCTGAAAACAAAGTTTAACATCTTTGATAATACTGATAAAGGAAAACCTCAAATTAAGCTTGATTCTTCATAGCTGACAAGTTTCATAGACAAGAATAAATTCAACAAGACTTTACCAAGAGCTGCCGCCAGGGCTTTGTTGTTTGCTTTAAGTGTGGTATATGTGGACAGTTTAGACACATCTGAAGAAAATATAACAATGTTTTTAAAGTAAAGTAAGCATGAATCTGAACCCAAGGCATCAAAAAGTCTATTAATCTTACTTGTCACTGATGGTTCCACTTCCATGTTCTCTTGATCTTGTTTTTTGTCCTGTTCCGTGAGGTTGGTCCTCTGTCTTTCGAGATTCACACTCGTTCTCCTTTTCTGATATGTTTGATGGTGTCAGTAATTTAATCAAGAAACGATCACTATACAAGATCTACAAATACTCAAGGTATCGACTAAAGTTTAGCTTGTACATGTGTTGAAAAGCCTATCCAGAGGTAAACGGTATGTAGATGAGAAAATTATATTCTATTTTAGAACACCTTCAATCTTCTTCTTCCCTTTTTACTCTCCATGCTTGCTCTCTTGTCCCTCTTTAATAACAACAATCCCTGTAGTAAGACATTAATCTAACTGTCTCCCTCTAAACTTTTCAAATGTCAATGCACCATTTCCTGTTTGATAGCCTCGTTTCCACGAACATTGCAAATTTCCGGTTTAAGCGGAAGTTAGACCCGCTAGCAACCAGACATTGGACACTTGGTAAAATATGCACTCCCCAAGACAAAAATTTTTATCCGTAAAAATCAATCAGGCTTCTCTAAAAACCTTAAGGATGTCATGAAGAGCGCAGATCAAACAGTGCTTATTCTTCGAAGGAAGGTGACCTGAATTACTCTACACACATCCACTCAGCCTGAAAAAAGTCACCAGTCTTCCAAGTTAGTGTTTTCCTTCAGTTCACAGGTCGAAAAAAAAAAGAACTATATGAAGCGAACGGGATTAGTAAAGAATTGTACAATGTTGCTTTTACAATATCACGTTTGATTTCGTGGTTGCTTGATGAACTCTCAATGAAATTTGAATAACACGACATTTTTCAGTAGGCCCACCCAACTGAGATATTTTAAACCTCGCATAAACATTTGCTGTGACGTTATGATAGACACGAAAACAGACAAAAGTGGCCTTGGTTTTCCGCGAAAACAGAATTGCAAAGAAATTTGAACGAGTAAAAATATGGCGGCCCTTGCGAGAGGCAAGCGTTTTAGACTACTAGTGGTTCAGTTGGATTTTAAAAGGTTAAAAAGTTGCCATCTGCGCTTTAGTTAAAAAAAAAAACAAACAAACAAAAAATCAGTCAGCAAGATTTATTTATGCGTAACAAAACTTGTTCTCCGTCTAAAATTATTCAACCAATTTTATATACAGTAGATGATAACGGTTATGATCGTGATTATAAACCAAAGGATGTCGAATAGGGTTGTTTCCCTCACTAGTGAAGCGAAAGATACAGTCTAGGGAGGGAGAATTAGCAAGATATCGCTGAGATGAACTTTTGCAAGAGGAAAATCAAGAGAGCAGGCAGAGGATAATACAAAATTCTTCTTGAGGCTGACAAATGGCACTAAAACGTGACCGTAGTGGCTCGTGTTCGACCAAGTGGCTCAAGAATAGAAATGATACGTGCTGAAATAGAAAATGATGGAAATAAATCGACACCATACTGTATTCTCAGAAATTTAGATTTCTTCGAATTCCGAAATACATAAATGCGTGTTTGATCCAGTTCTTTACAGGAATGTTCCTTCCTGAGGTATCGATTTCATGTTTTCTAAATGTGAAAGGGTACACTCTCCTTATGCTTAAAATAAAACACTACATTCCAATTCTAATCTATCTCATGTTGTGATGATAACTGAAATGAAAGGAAATTATTGGGAGTGCCCAGTAACTGATTTTTCTTGGTTGCAAAACAATTTAAATCGTGATTTTAAATGGAGTGATTGAGCTTTAATGAATGTTGTGAGTTCTAAATGGTAATGAAGTAAATTAAAGAAGGCAGTCGACACCACCTACTGTAATGATATGCATTTCAGAGAGAGCGGCTTTCACGGCTTGATCATTTGCATAACTTATTAAACTTATTGCGCAAACCGAAAGGTAATTGGTTCCTGCTTCACCCAGTGACGCTGGCAGACAATAATAGCGGTGTACATATATGATAATTTTCGACACTTCACAAACCTAGTGTTGCAATCTCGCAAGTTCTTCTCGTGTTCTGAGGATCAGGAAAATTCTGCCAATGCAATCAAGAACCTTAGAAAATTGAGAGGAACCGAGTGGCTGGCAAGCTAGCGATTGACGGTCGCTTGTGGACTTCCGTCTCTGCTGGTTCGATTCCAGCTCATGCCACGGCGCGACTTAATACATATCAGAATCTACTGTATTAGAGCGGTTTAATAACTCTCCGCCTCACCAAACGAGAAGAAAATTACACTAAAAGTCTGCGCTGAGTGGTTAATTGAACACAGAAGAGCCCGACAATGGCAAACTTGGCCGGACAGGCAGCGGATTTTGAGGTAAACAATGCATAAATCTTTTGCCGTTCATTTCTCAACGCTGAATTGTATTTCGATTACTGCGTGAAGAAGGTACACAATGTGTTCAAATGCCTTAAAACGGAAAATCTGTGAGGAGCTACTTTGCCAACAGCCACTTTGCTGTCTCCACGAACATTTGTCAATGAAACGCAATAGAATAGAAAAACCTTCAATAACTAACCAGAGTAGGCATCCTGTTGAGGAATATTAACCGTATAGGACTTGCTTGTCAGTGTGGATTATAACAGCCCGTATAACACCCGAGATCAAAATCTTCCCCTTTGAATGGATCCCTTATCTCGATTATGTGCGGCTGAGCTCACCAAAAGAAAAAAAATTGGTTTACGAGCGATTATAAGGCCCATTCCACGGTTTGAATAAAATATGAAGGAAAGTTATTCACCTGTGGGCTGAAATTGCATCCCCGATCCATTGTTTATCTGAGTTAATTGCAAGAAAGGAGAAAACCTTCATTCATCTCTTCAGACAAGTCATTTCCAAATTCCAGAGACCCTGTTAGAAATGTTTTATTACGCTAATGAGCAAGATATGACATGTCTTTGTTCTGTTAATCTATCTCAAGCTTCATGAGAAATTGATGTTTTCAAAGCAAATCAGTTTGTTCAATTTATTTATACACTGCACATGCGTATGGACTATTATAAATGTTCTAACTACGGTTTGCAAAAAAATTGGGTACAAATTTATCGTTTATGAAGAAAAGAACGTGACGGCACCCAGAGGGGACCCACACGCGTGATCGTATACCAAAGATTAACATTCGTGAACCAGGGGATGCTACTAATGAGACGAGAGATCTAATTCTATTTAGGGCGTTTACTTTCTTTCAGCGTTACGGAAAACATTTCGAAGAGAAAGTCAGAATGGTGAAAAAGTGTAAAGATTTCGCTACGATACAAGCACATTGCTTGTGGTGAGCCCGCGGTCTTTCGGGAAGCGGCACAAATCGACCCACACCGAGCGATCTAGCGAACAAAGGACATTGAACCCCTCTGGACAAAAAAAATTTTGCTTTAAAAACGTGACCTTTCTATAATCCTATAAGTTGGTTGTTAGCCAAATGGAGGAGTGGCGGTCAGTTAGAGGCAATATAACGCTAACAGCACTCTTTTTTTTCAGTTCATCTCTATCCATGTTCGTAATCCTCGAACCCATTTGTTGCGCAGATGGCCTGTTTATACAGACTTCGAGATCGTAGTTCTGGTGGGTGAAAGTGTTATTTTTGGAAACTTACCGTAAAATTCCGGTTCTTAGCTTTTGGTGGGCACATATCCGTGTGGGCGTGGGTGGGGAGCAGCCGAATAAGTCGACCTTTATGAAACGAACTGATCACGAAATCTTCCTTATTTTAGCAAGGAATAAATCAAGATTCGATCTCAACTCTACTTAAAAATTTCAAGCAAAGTTTTCAAACCAACTTAGTATACAAAGAGATAGTGAAAACATGAAAACATCATATTGTTTTTCCTCGTTACCTGTTTAAAGTGTTTTGAAAATATTATAATGATAGCAGAGGGGAAGGGCATGATCAGGAGAGAAGAGGAAAAGTTACAGAGTTTGATCAAGAACTCCCTTCCCCCACCCTTCTTGTGCCTCTTTAATTTGCTTTGAATGTTCGGGCGTGTTTTTCTGAATACTTGTGATTAGGTTGGACCCGAAAATAGTGAATATACATTAAAAATAATTGATCTGTAGTAACTTACCTACTCATTCACAGACCAACAGTATGATCTTTGCTAAGCAAAATACTCAAGTTAGAAGACGTTTCTCGGAGTTTATTTGGTTATGGAAACATTTATCAAGACATACCTCACTGACACTGTAAGTTAGAAACCTTTACAACCATGCATTTAAAAGTCATTGATTGTTTTCATTATTGTCATTAAGTAGCACTCATGCCTCAAAGTTTTGTATGAGCACTCAAATGGAGCAACAAATAGAACTCGCTGGCGTTGTGCGTTAAGTCGCTCCTACTGGTTTTAGAATTGTTGGCCGAAATATTAACAAGTTCCTGTAGGAAATAAGAATTTAGCGTCCAAACCGCGGAGATTGCATCAGCTTGATAGCGACTTGTCTGGTTGCCAAGACACCTTCCCTCCTTTGTTTCATGGATCAAAATAAATTTGCATACTGTAAACGGCCGTCCATTTAAATCAATTTAATTCAAGAACCATTCAGCCTTCAATGCTTGCTTCCTATAAGGTACACGCTCAATGAGCTGGACCATTCGTTTAGCTTTATTTTTAGAGGCGGTGGCTGAGATGTACTTAACCACGTACCGTTTCATACATGATTGATTGAAGATCGATTTATGCCTTGGTTACTTTCAGGAAACTACCTCCGTTGCCAACGAGGAGAAAAGTCTTTGGTCGATTTAGCAAAGGATTTTTAGAGGAACGTCGAAGTGGTCTACAGGAGGCTTTGGCCAGGTAAGATCCAGTCCATCTTTTGCCATCACTAACCCGACCTGCCCTGTCCTGTTCCTCATGTAAATAAATGCTCGAAACTGACCAACCCACGCGCTGTCCCGCGTCAGAATAACACGGTGCGATTTTTGAAGTTTTTTCCCGATGACAGGGCTGGATATTTTTCCATTTGTAATTTTCCAGCCTGGTTACTGAGAAAAAAAAAATCGACATTTCGGAAAGGGTTTGCACGCCATCCCAAACGAAAAAAATAGATTTTTTTTTTGTAGCTTTGTGATCAACTCAGTTGAGTGAGATCTCTGAATCCGAGCTGGATATAAATAGGTCCTTGGATCCTGGTACTACGTTATCTAGCCATATCCTTTAATTATTTTTTGTTCGTTTTGTTCCTCCTTTTTTTTGCGGAAAATATTCGATCATATCCAAGAGAGCAGATCAACTTGTTGAATGAAAACACCTCTTTTATCTATTTGCTCACGTTAGAGTTAATTACGGGACAAAAATATCATTTCTAATCAAGTTTATTTTAGATTTCGCCATCTTTTCGCACCAACTATTCTCCATGGCAGCTTGAATGATGAAACAAGTCACTCAGTAGAATCGCACGTGAACAACACGGCTCTAATCCTGAGCCTTTTTGTGACAAGAAGGCAATTGTATAAAACAGTCCAAAGTACAACTCAGAACAAAAGCTTTTCCTTTGTTGCATTCACTAACGGTATTTTCTGCATATTTTGATGAAAAATCAGTATTTTAAAGCTTCTGGAAGGAAACCGCTTCCTAGATCAACGTTTTTTGCCTTGGCGTAGTCACACCTTTAACCCTCTCTTACGTCATTTTGAAAATTAAAAGTATACGTGTAAAAAGTGTATATCTGAGTAAATATGTTTCACAAGAGCAGAAACGTGATGCGAATTTCATTAGTTTGAAGTTTGCAAATTTACTACCAGGTGGCCTTGTTACATATTATGATATATTTGCAGTTTGTAAATTTGATTTCTGTGCCAAACATTAGCCTTGTTGAAGAGTAATTTGAAAATGTGAGATGAATTAGGTTGCACCGGTTTTTTGCATTTGTTTTCCCACCATGTTTGCTCGAATTTGAACGCATAAACCAGATTGACCTGAATTTTGGTTTTTGTTTTCCAGTCTATCGCGAATCACCCCAATTCTCGCGGACTCCGTATTTCATCTGTTTATCCAAAGTAACTTAACAAGAAAAGAGATGGAGAACTTTATCAGCGGAAGAGATAAGAGAGATCTTGTCGACATCATTGACCCTACAGGGGCATGTCAACGATACAAAGACAGAAGATGTACATGTCATTCAACAGTGGACAGCGGTTATTCGGGTAGTGTTCAGCCAGATGAAGAAAGTCGAGGAATATTGGATGGTAAGTTCCCATTATTTACTAGGCTTAGAAAATGGTTGCTATGAATAGAAAAATACGTCATTCCTGCTCTCAAAAAGATCCTTTTGATAATTCCTCTCTGCTTAATAAGTTTGCTTTGATCCCAGTGTTGTTTGAGAGTAATCTGCTTTCTCGTTGTTTTCGCATATATTTATGAAGTTTTAATTCCTTCTATGGTCTCTTTTGTTCTGAGGAGAGGGGGGGGGGGGGACGTTAGGGTTTCTTGCCAGCCGTTTGGGTTCCGTTAACCAAAAAGTTATAATAAGCAAAAACCTTCTAAAAGATACTTAGATTATATTGTAAAATCAACCTCACTTTCTCTGTATTCTTTCAGATGTTTCCAGCTGGGTTGCCTCACAACAGCACTTCGCCTCCAGCGGCCTTATGGGAAATGGCTGGAGCTCAGGATACACATGTCAAACCACCTGCAAATCACGTTCAAATTCACAACTTCGGGGTTTCTGTCCCGTTTACTTCGAGAAACAGTCAACCCCTTTGAACAGAAGACTTAGTCTGACCCATAATGTAGCATCAGTATTACCAGGTGGACAGCTCATGATTGCCCCCTCGGGTATGAATTGCCCCAGGATTGATGAAGCCAATTGTGAGAGCACTGATGGTAAATCGGGCAGCCCCAATCCTTATGAAGGGGATAACGAAACGGAGTTTGATTTATCAGACTATGAAATCGTTAAAGACGAACCTTTTATTCGTGTAAGAGACTGGTTGAATTCTCAAAATGATAAATCAGCTGGTAGATGTGACAGTAGTGATGAGGAAGATACTTTGGATGCTTGCCAAAGGGAAGTGCGATTGAAAGAGTACGACGTTTTAAGTATTCCTTGTGCTCGTCAGATTAATAAGTGCAAATCAACGGCTAGTATGGTTTATGAAAGCAAAGAATGTAGTGTCCAAGGAGATGCCATTTCGGAAGAAGATGGAGACGATGGTGACTCCGAATATAGTGTTCTTCATTCTTCCATAGGTGGACTTGATTGGAAAGATCGTGATGAGTTTTCATCTTCATGTGACAGTTTACAGTCAGCATCTGTGTTTCTAACTTACGATGTAGTCGAAATGATAGAATTGCGTTACACTAACGTTGTATGATTATCATGACTAAGTGAATGTTGGAATGTTGCGTGAAATATTACGCGTGCGCATGAAAGAATAGGTTTGGCCTTTGGATAGAGTGCAAATACCTATATCCGATTATTATTGGAGGAAGAATTTGCGTGACAGCTCGTAAACCAAGTATGCCATTTGGACAAGGCAGTGAAATGTTATGATGACTCATTAATGAGGTCACTTTTTAATATGATATCCATTTGTAGAAATATTCTATAATCGAATAGTGTACGATAAATCTAAGATTTTATGAATACTCTGGTTCTAATAATCTTGTGTGTCAATTTTCTTCTTTAGAACTATCTAAAATTCGACCTCATTTGATTATAACAAAATCGATTTCGTCGTCTGACCCGAAAAGCAAATTGGTTTTCAGAGTTAGGCAAGATATTATAACGGTATCTTATCAAATTAAACGCTTCCGGCCTGAGGACAAGTTAAGTGCGTGGGTGGCGGTTGGAAGATGGGGAAAGGGCCTTCGAGTTACTCATTTTCACTCAGTCACGAAAACAAAACTTCGAGAGGAAAAATTCAGAAACTATTCGCCTTCTCTTGACTGGTACGTTTTTTTCACCTTCCCAAGAACGTAGGCTATGCAATACTACTTCCGGCGTGGAGTTAAGATATTTCCGGTTTAGAGCTACAAGTGTTCCGTTCAACCCTGAAAAACGTCAGTCACAGGATGAAGTGAGTGACAGCACATGTAAACATGAGAAAGTGAAGTGCATCTCTTGCCCAAAATTGAAGACGTGCCAGACTTTTATTTCTACTCGTGCCCCGGTAGTTACGTTATGAAGCCATGAACATCTGTTAACCGAAAAATTGGTCAATCACAGCTTTTCTAACAACTATTTAAACGAGGTAAGCTGACCTGTTTCTTGAGTTAGGCTGAATATTTTCTTACCCAAAGAGACGCGCAAACCAATTTGCGAATGTCCTCTGACCTCGTCTTCCGTTGTCGGCGTCACCGTTTTCCGTTCTGTCGTAAGCAAATTTCAAGCTGTACAAACTGATCTTCTTGACGTAACGGACTCTTAGTTTACGGAAAATAGTGAAAGCTGTTGGCTAAGTGAGTACAGGTAACACCTAATACCATGTAAGCAGTAAATGCGACATTCCTTTGACTAACTATTTCAAGACTTTCGTCTGTGCTTTATCTCAGCCATATCTTTCGCGGCCTCGAGCATCGCTTTTTACACTTGCTCTGCTCCTGCATAACTTGCTGGAAACCACCAACTGCACCAGCTACAGAATACTGCGGTAAAAATTCAGCCTTCGTTTCATGAGCAAAGCCTGGTCAATGATGTTGATAGGGAACCGTTCAAAAACTAACATACTATCTCTCAGTATTAGTAAGTTTTTGTTGTTGGGTTTCGATGGGTCGTTCACTCGCTCTTACAATAGCCCTGACCCAAATACGGCTACAGAAGCATAAAATATTTTTTATTTTGGAATTAGCCTGTGTAGTAGGCTCTCTACGGAAGACGCGATAAAGACGACCAAGAAAGAGTAGAAGTGCGTGCGGCGGTCCGTAATCACTTGGGCCCGGTTTTAACGATGGCAAGCGAAATGTTTCTTACAAATAAAGCTATAACAAGTCCTCGTTCCTCGTGCTGAAATTCCTCTTCATCAGACATTAGCTTTGATGGACATTCAAAGACGAAAACCTAGTAATTTCACGGTTAGTATTTGATGCAAGGCCGCTTCGCTGAATCATATCAAATTATTACGTAATAACACCACAGTCACGCAAAGAAAATTTTCTAAGCTCTTTCGACACGCGATATTTCTTTCAGAGAGATTGTTTATTTCATACTTTTATAGACTTATTTCGCCTTGATCGAAGTCTGTTAGAGGCTAATGTGGAAACTCTAAAATGTGACCTCAACAGTACTAATGCAACCGGATGCAAGGAATAACGTATGATGTTGAACAATGAACAGAAAACTCGAATTCCGGCGTATCTGTAATCACCAACTCCTTGGTACTTTTGATAGAGGTATGCAGCTCGGTTCTCCAATTCTTGACCCTATTTCAGACAGAAAACTGTCACTCTCCTCACTCGTTACCAAAAGTAGGCTCCAAGATCCATGGCTGTTTTAACGCCTAGCCATTGAAACAAGTTCTTAGTTTTGTAGCCAAATGAATCTTCATATCAGTATCAGAGGTCAATAATGGTAAAATTTAACCTTGAACTCAGCTCGAATAATATATTTGGTTCCTTCTCCTTCTCTATTGTCCATGTGGAGTTGAAAAAACAAATATGTTTACATGTCCTCCGGGTTACCTTGAAAATCATCCGTGTTTTAAGGCCATAGTTCTGAAAATGTATTCCTGTGTTTAGACCCCCAAAAAAGCTCCAAAACCAAGCCTTTTGGAGAGGCAGATACGTACTAGTTGGTAGCTTATACAGGGAAATACCTCCTCCGGAAATCAATCACGGATATTTCTTCGACACAAAGGTGTGTACAGGTGTTTGAACCATGTATCTGGGAAAATAAAATCTTTATGATAGGAATAATGCTTCTGTTTTCAATGTAGATGTAACATTATTTGAATCTCCTCGCGCTTTAAGGACGAGTCAAAGAGAGAAACCCCAAAAACTGCTTAAAAGGCAAGTTTAAGTCGCTTCAGAGGAGAATCATCGACCTCTATAAGTTCATTATGGAAGAAACAAGCTAACAATCTGACTTATCTACAATCACGCCGTCTCTCACGTGCAGTGCCCCAGGACTGCGGGACACGTGCTTCATATGGCAGTTCTTTTTACGATCCCCTTCGATACTTCTCCTTTCCTCCCCGCGTTTCTTTGCATTCACAACTCCTGAATGAGAAACAAAGGCTTCTAAAGATTATAACTTGTTCTTTCACCGCACGGTACCTCATTTACCCACTGGTGCCAGTGAATGCAAATTCATTAGTCTTGTCAAACGTTGATGTGACCTCAATGTGAACTCTCGAGCACCTACTTCGTACAAACCACGAAGCACCAATTTTATTACATAACATCGCGAAACGATAGGAAGCTTATTAAATTTAGTCACGAGTATCCCAACCCACGTATCGTAAGATGATGTTACAAAACATCTATCTTCGTCTCAAACGTTTTGGCGGTCTGTTCAACTGTACAGTACAATCTTATATATTTTCGGTGATGTAACTGAATTCGTGAAGCCCTGGGGAGAGTGGGTTCGGATGCAAAATGGCTGGTATGTACGCAATCGGTTTAGGGGCTTCTCTTGTTTGTAATTTTCTTTGTTTTGACCGCTTAGCTTAGGAGGTTTGTTGATGTTTCAGGTATCTTGGTCACACATGCATAGAAGACGAGGATACAGGCTGTTTCAGCCGAATTTTGATTGGATTATGATAAGAGATCAAGTGGGAGAAACTGCGTACGGCAACGCGGTGTGTAAAAGCGATTTCTAATTGTGTTTTAAGTCTGACTGAACTTTGCGAGATGTTTTCATTTCATTTATTTTGGTATGTTGTGTTTTCAGTATTTGGAAATCGAAGTGAAAAATCCTCGAACCCATATTGAGAAAGAAAAGGCACTTTATACTGACTACGAAATTGAATTGAAGGTAAGCCGGTGTTTCGTTAGTTTTGAGTCTCTTGGGGGGCGGCAATTCATTCCAAGGTCCACGGAAACCTTGAGACCTAGGACAACACAAATTGTTATCGTATTCAGTAACTCTCAAGGTTTTAAATGAGCATTCCTGGTTTATAAACTTCAACGGGTTTGTTCTGTGGGTCGAAGCTAATATCGAAAGTCATGCAAATTTCCTTTGTCATCGCGTCGTTAATTTGGGGCATTCGAAAGGCGTGTGTTTATCTTTGTTGAGGAATGAGCAAAGAAAACAACTGATGTTATGAATTCTAACCGGTAAGCAGTAAAATCAGAGTATCGTCCCTCATGCCAATCATGTTATGAAATTAGGGTACTGCAATATGTTGCAGTAGAATCAACCCTACATTGATGTACACTAAGAGTGGCATATTTAACAGAATTTATTCCACCAACCCAATTTTGGAAATTTAAAGTGACTTATTCGATAATAAGATGTCTTTATCTGCAACCAGCCTTTGCTCTAAGATAGGAATAAGAAACCAAATTTTTCTAAAGTGAGTAGAGATAATGATTTACTTATTGGAGGTGTGTCAGGGGGCATGTCAGAGGTGTGACTAGCACATGATAATCACATGCCTCAACATTTAATCATAGGCAAGAATTCCTCGAATGAATTTTATCACGATTGTTCTCTCTTACCTTTGTTAATCTTTCTGTAGACAAATCATCCTGCATTTCCATTGTTCCATTCTCAAGTGAGACGAAGATATTCAGAGTTTGTTTGGCTGAGAACCAGATTGGGTCTTGATGATGTTGTAATGGTGTAAGTGTGCTGGAGGTTTAAAGTTCTCCAATTATTAGAACTTCAAACAAATATTCAAGTCTGAATAAAATGATTTCTTTGTTTTTAAATTTTGGGTCATGATGTCAATCTGGGCTTAAGATATTTGTGAATTGATTTTTAATTGATAGTGGTACAATAAATATACATATCCCTTTGCCTTTTTTGAACTGATTAATGTTTAAAACATAAGAATAAATGACTTATTTTGAATAGGCAAGTTCCACATCTACCAAGAAAACAGTATGTTGGACGTTTCAAGGAGACCTTTTTACAGAAACGCCAAGAAGGATTATCAAGATTTCTGAATAGGTCTGTGTACAAAGTTACTACAAACCCAGTTGTAGTTTCATATTGATTTTTATTGCTTCCAGTTCCTTTAATATGAACTTGATCTATTCAATACGATTAATTTTTTTACAGATGGTAATTTAGGAGTTTATGTTTACAGGTAGAAGTTCCTTTCCTCTTGGTCACATTTGTGACTGTGGTGACATTCAATAAGTCTCAAAGTATTAACAAGAAAATTGGTGAAATATTGTCTTCTAACATATTTTTTTCTGAACAATTTTTTTCTCAACAGGCTTGCAAGCATTAATTCTTTTGTGAACAATTCAGCCATGCTACTATTTCTGCAGACAAGTCTCAGTAAACATCAAATGGACTACTACATGAAAACACGAACTCCGGGAGGTATCAGATCACTTATTCATAGACTGCATGAGAAAGAATTGAAGAGGGACGACTCAGAAAGACGACCCAGAACAAAAACATTCAGTGCAGAGTATCCGTCTGCAGAAAAGTAAGGAAAAGAGGGGCTTTACCTCTCAAGATTGTAAACTTTTGAGAGACAGGGTGACTTAATAGTTTGGATGTCACTCTTTTTATCAGGAGTTGTGGGATTTAGCTGTGTTTAAGATCCTTTGTGTTTCTTGGTTAACCCTTTAACTCCCATGAGTGACCAAGACAGAATTTCTCCTTACAATATCAAAACAATGTTAGCAGACAAGTTATGAGAATCAAGAAAAATATCAGTGAGGGGGTTCGAAGATGATCCAATTCTAAATCCTCCAAACTAACATCACAAGAACTGTATTGGAGATAGTAAGGAGAATTACTGATAAGATCTTGGGAGTTAAAGGGTTAAAACAATTAACTCTCATAGTACCTCTCTCCATGCAGAAGTGTGAATGGGATCTGCAAACTATCAGGGAAATCTGATAAAATGCAGAGTGTCACTTGTTATTAAAAACCATCCCATCCAGGAGAAACTTGTTACTTTTTATGTTTTGGAGTAGAACCAAAGGCTCTCATCCACTTAATAACCTTAAGTCACATTAACAACTTCTACTCATCAAGAATAGGAAGCCATTAGTGCCAGTGATCCTCCTACATTTCCATTTATTGTGCACTGTGTGTGTGTTTGTGTGTAAATACACACTCCATCAGCATAGTGTATCTCCCCAAAGTAGTCTCTCTTTATGATTGATGTATGTCAGTGGAAAAGTGAGTTATGTTTTTCTTTAATTTTTAAGGCCCCAAACCCTGAAATACAAATCCTATGGTAAGGAATGGTCAAGTTTTCACAGTGATAACCTGTTTGGGTTTAATACTGCTGTTGAAGATGCTATTGATGTTCCAGGTGAGCTTCAAAAATGCTAGCAGTGACATCTCATTTATTCTGTAAGGGTAATTTTTTTACTAATTAAAAACTCCAATGCACTCATGTTTTATTTTCTGTTTGGCTCAGATTTGTCTTTTTAGCAACACCTTTTACTGTATGGCTAATTATCAGTATTACTAATAGTAATACTGATAATTATAGTTTTTATCGCAACAGTGATGTTACTAATGATAATAATGATATCAATATTTGTATATTATGCAGTAGAGTATCATTACACCAAATTTAACATCTAACTTAGAACACATGTTCACATGACATCCAGGTGGGTATATTGTACATAGCCACTAACTACATGAGTGAAAATGTTGCATATTTTTTCAGTGGACAATCAATATTGCACAAAACTAGAAACTGTATCAGGAGCAAAAAAAAAATTGAACCATTAAGCTGCTGTTTACTCCTCAGTAACTTTTGCTTCAAAGGTTCAGTACCATGTAATCATTTCCAGAATATACTTGCCATAAGAATTTCAAGTTAAAATATTTTGAAAAATGACATGAATTTTTGTTTGGTTATTATTTTATTTAGAGAACAGTTATTATATTTATTTACTGTCATGTATGATGTAATTCAAAAGTTAAATTTTTTTTCACTTGTTTGAAAGTAACAATCAATAAATTTCCCTTTGAAGCCAATAGAGACATGAAGAAATGTCGCAGTATCAGCTGCTGTGCATATCCTGGTGGCCAACTGACCCTTCCCACAATTCCTGGTAGCAGTGAGGATGGGTTAGACAGTGCAGAAAGTGCATCGTTTACAGAACCAGATGGACAAACTGAAGAACATCCACTGAGTCGCAGCTGGCATGGAACACCAAGGGATGAAATTGACTTTGTACTGGAGGATTATGAAATAATTCCATTGGAATCTATTACAAAAATGGCAGGAAATGATGATGGTGACAGCTTAAGTGAGTTTTATGACCTGGACTTGGACTATGTGGATGTTGTAAAACCTGGTTTAGAATATGGGAGAGAACGTCGCTTTGATTATTAACATCTGTCATGTATTCACTGAGTAATTAATAATAATCAATAATGTTGGGTGAGGTTAAGTCAGTGAGGGTTGAAGTTAAAAAACAGACTTGGTTTAGATACTGTGTGAACAGAGCACAACTGGTTGAGAAAGAGGAAGAGTTCAGGATCATCTTTTTCCCCTGATCTTGATTTTAACAATAGTAATAATAATTGTTAATAAAACTGTAAATAATCAATGTATTAATTATATATAGTCAGTAGCTTATGGGACTTGTCTGGAATATTCTAATATGGAGACTCCATTGGTTGCTTATGAAGAAAGAATAATGAAATAACATATTACAACACAGCTATAAGGATGATGATTATGCTATAATACAGTCCATGTACAGTGTACAGACTTTGGTTTATATGGAATAACATGCCAACTTAACAGTATTAGTCAAAAAGGGTTAGCACTGTTATGAAAAAGACTATTTTCCCAGTCAAATATAAAGGCTTTAATTGATGATAACAGTTAAGTCAATATTTGTTTATACAATTACTAGTTTCTCAACCAATATGTCACTAACTCTCTGTAGGCTTCACAAACACTTTCTTCCAATCTAGTGTTCTGAAAGAAATCATGCCTTTTGAAGCTTCTAAACTATGTGATCACCTTTGATAAGAGCTTCTGGACTAGTTTTCAAAATTGTGGAGGAAATCACGATCTGTACAAGGCTTATTTGTCGACAAGAGACTGATACTTGTAACTCATTCAAACTTATGAACAAACTGATAGGAATAAGCTGCTCCCAAGTGCCTTTGTCTTGTCAGTAAAAGGACTAGAGTGCAACTGTGTTCAGGCTCATAAATCAGGCTATACAGTTTTGGTAATACAAAATCTAGTTTGATAAACAGGTCTGTGTTTTACAGGAATTTAAGCATAAGTCAATTGGTTGGGAATTGTTTGGGAATTAGATTCCATAATTGCGGTTTTAAACTTTTGCTTTCTAAATACCATGAGTGAAATTAATTGACAGTTGTATAGTTAAGCTGGGGATAGTGGTATCTAGGTGTCCTTGTGCAACTGTGTTCATGCAGTGTACTGAATATCATAGCTTATCCTAAATCTTTCTCTGTAGTATTAGTGTGAAAAGAATATTATCTTTTGTTGGACTGCAGTATATTCAATTTCTTGTTATTTAAATTAATATGATAATGTCCAGGCCACCATTGTTGGAATTCGTGATGTCATTAAAGAGAGAATGAAATAATCTGTTCATGTTGTCCTTCACCAGCATAATTAAAACTATGAAACTCTTCTAATGAGACCTTAAACTGTTGTTTAAAAAGTAAAATCTAAAATCCAAGCTTTCGCCGATCAACGGCATCATCATCATGCCGTTGATCGGAAAAAGCTTGGGTTTTAGATTTTATATTTTAAACAGAAGTTTAAGGCCTCATTAGAACAGTTTTATATAGAGAATGAAATGTTCCTTAAAGATGTGTTTCATTGAGGTTAATTAAATGTTCTGTTTTAATTAAAGAACAATGGAATTCTTTAATGGACGCTTACTTAGCAGCAAGTGGGAGAATTTATGTGTTGGACACAGTGAGGCTTTGGTTGCTTTACATGATCTCCAAATTGTTTTCACTCACCAGTGATCATGTTTGATTGGCGTTTATTACTGAATTTCTTGGCTCAGCCTGTGAGAGGTCTGGACCCCATCGTGGGTACACGCACTTACCAACTCGAGGTAAACTAAAAGCACTTCCAAAGACAAACGAAAAAAAGCAGTCCGGATTACTTTACGCACTCATTTGAGAATTGCTCCAAACTCAAAGGAAATTCAACAATGTTTGAAGTCATCTGGTACACTGGGAGGGCGAATATTATCATTCTATTGGATGGGGCCGGGGGTGGAAATGTTATTTTGATAACCATTCTTCCCTACGTCGTTGTCTGTGCAGATTTTTTTTTTCGCTACTTTTCTCTCAAAAATAATGATGACGACGACGACGATGATGATGATAATGCACGGTTCCCTAAACTGAAATGATAGGCGGCAAAATTTTTACTTTTATAGACATGTATATTGGCTTTTAAGTATCACTTTTGTAACTAATGTTCATCATAACACGACCCCACAAGCCAGTAAGCTCTAATCCCCATCGTAAAGATGGAATTACTTGAGACGGTTGTCTCCTTACAGACGTCATGATTGTGATTATGAGGTAATACTCCTTTTCATTAATAAGTTGTATTAGGAATTCATGACGTTGTAATTAGTATCCTTTAATAAGTTTTCAAATTTTATCATCAATGCTGAGAAAGCACAAATATCAAATAAGTAATTTACGGTGGGCTTAGTAATTTGATAGGAAAATTGCAGCAAAAGTGGACGGCATTTTGTGGATAGTTTTTGAATGAGATCGTTCAGTGCTCCACCCGACTATGTCTTCATTAACAACATCTGGGGTCCTCCTATTCCTAGACGGCTATGTTCGGTATGTAAATTTCTAAACAGTTCTAAATTTAATTAGAGAAGCAGAAGACCTTTTCGATGCGATTTGGTCTCGATGTTTGTTTCATACCCGTGACTCTATTTTTCTTAGGAGAACGGTAATAATTAATCACATCGGAGTTATTAATCTATAGAAAAAGTCAGCTTAGAATGAACTAAAATCGATGGAACAAAAGCCATTAGATTGTTTGAATGCAACAAGACGAGCCCTTAAGGAAATTGAACTTGATGTGTCACTGAACTTAATTTTTGGATTATAAGAAGAGTGCCTATTTACTTGTGGGAACGTTTTATTTACCCATGTTCCCAGCGGTAATCATCGTGAACCAGTATTTTCGTAAATCCAATTAGTGCACCCTCTCCCCAGCCCCACTCTTCTTCAAAAATGAACCGTTGTTGTTTGTTTTTCGTTTTTTGTTTCAGGGAGAAACTCTTCGTTCGTCTCTTTTTTATCCTGTGTCAAATCGTTCAGTAAAATCCTCGAGATTGAGAGATCAATGGAGGAGTCCACAGGACTGCAAGACTCTGTTCCACGTCAACTCAGTGCATGGTAATTAAATCATTAATTTTTAATATCAAACCGTTTCTGACTCGATTTGGACCAAGCTAGGTTTAATCGAACTCTATTTGCAAAAGAAAAAAATTCAGGGGCGGCTTGTGTACTCCACAGTATGGGGCCGAAATACACATTTTGACGTAACCCTTTTTATGCCAGCTTAAGGGGTTATTGCTCCCGAAAGGGAAACTGTTTTCATTGAAGGTCTAAACTAAAACATATAAGTAGGGTTTAATTTCTACTCAGGTCTAGAAAAGGGCGGGTGACGAACAATGTGCTAGGGAGTTTGAGAATTTGTAACATCTGACCTGGCATTAGTATGTTCATGTCTGGTTTGCATTGAAACAAATTATTATATCGTTTTAAGCTGTACTTCTTACTGGCAGCAGGTAAGATAGTGCAAGTTTAAGTAATGAAATTATTGGGTTACTTCTTCGCGCAAAAGTGACTTATTGAAGGTAAGTATATGGATGAGTGGGTCGAGAATCCACGTACATGTAAAACAATTGAGTAAGAATATTCTTACACTCTCTGACATAAAAATTTGGACAGAAGCTCTTCTCGCACAGAATTGTAAGGGTCTTGGGAAGCTCAAGATAGCCCCAGAAAGCTAATTACGGATATTTTCTCTCTCTCTTTGGCTACTTGTGTTAAACTGGGTTATGCTCGATTTCGAGCCTGTGACAAAAGAAGATATTTCTGGAGGGCGTTCAATTTTCGTAAGATACCGTAGACTACTAATGAAACAAAAAGATTTATAGATAACAAATGTATGAGTAATTAGCCAGATTTAAGCTCATCATTAGTGTCTCTTCGTTTAATTTTTTTAAACCACCCGGTTTTGACTTATCTCGTTGGGGTTCAAAATTTGAAAGATTGCCTATTAGCGCAAGTTTAGATTGTTTTGGGGTTCTCGCTTAGCTTTGCAATCGACTGTTTTTCTTCATTGTACCTTCTTCATTGTTATGCGAATTGTGTCAGAACTTGATTCAAAAGTCAATTAGTTGCCGCACTTGTTTACAATAATTTGTCATTTGGCTTCTTCAATGTTGCCATAACAACGACTTTGGCGGATTTCATTGAAAGGTGTTTATTCCAGATGTAAGGCACGAGGAATTTGCTCCAAGTCTTTACTAAACAGCAACTAATGTAAGTGTCTTTGTTCAGTTTATGGTTTATTAAGAGGATATTTAAGCTTTGTGGATCGACTTTACCTATCGAAGAAGTTGAAAAGAGCATTGCATCATCGATTCAAGGTCGCGCGAAATTAGCCTCTTGTCACGTACAGTTTAACGCCAGCAATGCGGGTTGCGTCGGTGCAGTATAGTTATCGTTCCTTTTCGAATAGTATTGCGCTAGAAAATTTATTTTATTTACCACCAATGTGAAATCAGGCTTGAGCTCACTAGGTAACTTAACCGTCCAAGAAAACGTTCGTTTTCTCTTTAATCTTTAATGTACTTTAGTGACAAGAATGAAGGATCATTGACATATTTCACTCAAGACATATACATGACATATATTACACGAGCTTCTATTCATAGTGTGATCTTTGATTCGAGAACGGCCTCTCTACTTAGACTACCATCTATATTCAACTTTCCAAAATATGCACAATGTTGCTAGTCGGCTTAAACTCAAATATTTATAGAGCACGGAAGATTAATTGTAATCTGCCTGTCTCTAAACAACACTGCAAGACTAATATTCATAAAAATTCTTTACTATCCGATAAGCCTCATCGGAATTTTGTGAGTGACGAGTCGGGAATTTGTTGACCAAAACAGCTTTGAAAAATTCAATTGCTGTAGGCTGTTTTTCCAGCGGTTAGAATGACATTTCCACGGGAAAATTATACACATTCCATTCACGTAACTGGCTATATTTCATCAATAGTCTTACACAACACACATTATGCTTGTGAGGCTATATTTTCTTTTTCAAGTGACAGTCGTTCTTTACATCGGTTGCAGCTTTCTGCCTTCACTAAAAGTAACTCTTCAGACCAATATTTATTAATGACCCAAGTTAACTCATTTACTCTATACTTTTGCACCAGAGTACAGCTTTTTGAACTTTGGATTTAATAAAAATTTCTATATTTACATCCACATGTACCATATGATTGAATAATTTTATGATACATCTTGGAACCCTCTTAACAATCAAAGGGAATTTAAGAAATTTTCCTCTTCTGGTAACAAACATCAGAACATTTACACTGTAGCCTGATCTCTTTGACAAAGAAGTAACAGTCACTCATGATCAGAGTAATTCCTTTCATCTATCTTTGACTACCACTGAAAATTAAGAGCCTTTCAATTATGTGATCAGTGTGTAAATATCTTTGATTACTCCTGGTGGCTCACAGTAACAGATGGAAGAACTTGGAATGTATTTGGATTGAATTTCTAAACATTTTGATTGATAAAAACTGGGGTATTAATAACTAGTAATAATAATTCATTGGTCAGGTCCAGTAGATAGAGTCAACTTGAGCAGATTTTATTCTTCAACAAGCTGCAATTATAAATATTTTACATTTGAAATAAATCAATCTGTGCGTGACTGATTGATAGGGATCAAGTTAGGCCAGCCCCATTTGAGTCGGGTTATCATCACCATAAAACTCAGTGGTTTCATAATGGAAAGATAATTGGTGGTACATCAGGATCAGGGCTTGTGTACGGGTCAGACCAAAGAGAAAAAAGTAGCTCTTCTGGTAAGAGAGAAAATGATTTTTCCTGCATGTGCACTGATGACTAAAGGCACTGTGACCTGCACTTCAAATAAATAATGCACATGTACTGTTAGTGCTTTTAGCTTCAATGTATGTCATTCAGTAATCTACATTTAATTGCACCAGCACTGATGACAAAAGGCACTGTGACCTGCACTTATAGTAAATAGTGTGCAAGTACTTTTAGTGCTTTTAGCCTCAATGTATGTTGGTGGGTAATCTACTTTTAATTGTTTAAATCAAACCCTGTAATGTGTATAGGCATACAATCCTTGAAAAACTTTTATGACACAGAGGGGACAAGACTGTTGAAAATAAACACATTTTAAAACCTCATAGCTAACTTTACCTAAATTTAATTACTTAATGTTAGTGGTGACAAGTTTTTGTTTTTCATTTTAATAATGTACAGTTTGCATTGTGTTCAGTTTTCCCACTAGAGCCTCAAAAGGCAAATCCTATAGCAATGCAGGACACATACAGACCATCAAGCAAGAATTATCATCTAAAAAATGCCCACAACCAAGGTTATGAATTAGGGCTTACCTCTTCATTTGAAACAAGGACATCCAATGATAAATACACCAAGAGACAACATTTCATTAGAGGAAAGGTACACCAGCTATTTATTTTCTTTTCTCTTACATACATTGCAGCTTGGACATTCTTTGTACATTAATTCAGAGATGATTTGAAATTTTGCACAATGCTTGATTTCACACAATAAATTGTGTTTACGACCATAAGAGGGAGAACCATGATGATATTGTTGCTAATAATTGTTTACCCACTGCATCATGGAGCACAGAATAATGTTATTGTTCTTATTTTGTAATAATTTTTCAGGTACCAGGTGGATCAGCAAGTAATAAGTTGATTTACGGCACAGATGAAGTCCTTCGTCAAGCAAATATGAGAGATGGTAATAATCCATCTGGGTTTCTTTATGGAACAGAAGCAGCAACAAAGGTTGGAAAGCCATCTCCTGGACCTCGACCAAATAATGTTCTGTGGTTGGAGGAGAGAACGTAAGTGATACCTTTCTTTTAAAATTTTTGATAACTTATTTGTTATTATCAGCTGATATTACTTTATGTGTCTTTCAGTGAAAAAGAAACCTTCAAAAACAAAAAGTTAGCAACGACTCAAGGTAACAACTTTATTCTTTATCTATTTGTAACAAAAAAAGATTAAGTTAACTGGTTATTAATGAGAAGAGTTTTTAGTGAAATCATTATTTATTGTAAGTTATTTTTTCAAATAGATGAATTTTTAGCAAGACATATGGAGGAGAAAACAAGAAAGCGACAAGCAGAACTGGAAGAGAAGAGAAGGGTATAGTTGTTTTAATTAGCTTATAATTTGATTAGTTTTTTTAAATGATGTAACTATCATACTGTATTGCAAATTTTTGTTTGCACTCTTTGTAAAAAACACCTTATACTTAATGTACCTGTATGTGTGACTTGTAGGATTTACAAGATCTAAAGAACTATGACCCTTGGGGACGACCAGGAGGAGGTGCCCCTATTGTAAGTTGTATCACTTGTTCATCATTTTGTGGTTCTTTAGAACCTTAGTAATGAATAATTTGTTGTTGCAAATATGATGTGATTGTAAAAGTTTTAGTAATGACTGTTGAATTTTAGTTATTGGGTTAGGGTTGAGGTTTTCTTTCTCAAGAAATGATATTTATAACGTCTTCTCAGTCGTTCAGTCGTATTGCGTGACATATCCTGTCGTACGTTAGCTCATATATGGGACCTTGGTTAGCTCCTCGTGCTAAAAAGAAGAACGTGATAACATCGCTAGTGTTTTGTAGCTTCACCTGAAGCCCTTTCGTTTTTGCTACAGTTCATCACAGTCTTTGACAGCTGTCTTTGGAACCATTCTTACAGCCATTTCTGGATTCGTTACCTTGTTATACAGACTGTAATTCCTCGCAAACCGTGGATGTTCGATTAAATAAATGCTGTTTGGTTTGTTGGACTGATGAGTTGTAGTTCTGCATTCTCGCATCCCCTTTCACACAGAAAGGCAGCTGCTACAATATTTTTGGTCAATAGTTGTCAGTGGTAAAAATTCAAAGATCTGGCTGACATCCAAAAAAAATCAGTCATTTTAAAGTTTGTCTCAACATGCTGGCCAAGTGTTGCATATAAGCAACAACTTAAAATCAGGTGTCCCATATTAACAAAACTTCCTTGTTGTGGGTTTATTTCAGATGCCTGAGGTAACAACCATCAGTTCACTTCATGTGGTAAATAAAGTGTTTTAGAAAGAACAGAATCAATTTTGTTTTTTTGTTAATAGTTTAGTTTAATAGTTTTTAGCATGGTATTTATATAGTAAATAATAATGATAATATGAGTATTTCTATAGTACTATTTACATAGAAATGATCAGTAGCACTTTACAATGATTCACCTACACAACTATTATGCAACAATCTAAGTATACCATGTAAATGAGACTTACAATAAAGTAAAACACATCAGATCAAGTGGTACTCATAAAAACTGAAATGAAATAAAATTTCTGGTCTAAATCAGTTAGAGAAAAACCTGACTAAAAAGATAGGTCTTAAGATTGAATTTAAAATCATCAATGATGGAATTTAAAATCATCAATGATGGAATAGCATGCAATTCAGCATGCAAACTATCGGTTCAGTGAGATAAAAGGATGTAGCAAGCACCAAGCATAGAAGACATTTTCTCTTAGGCGGCTCTAGTAACAAGGTGCCATTTCCTAAGATCCAAGATTGTAAGGGCATTGTTCAAATTTAATTATTGTGCAACCCCTGAATTCGGTGATGATTATCAAGGCCTTCATCCTGAGCATTTTAACTTTGCCCTGCAAGTTCACTCCCTGATCAAACTTGCCCTTTATATTTACACCTACCTGGGGTTCCCCAAATAGCTACTCAGTGACTGTCTCACAGAAATTGTTAATTATACACTATTTGCCAGCTACTAATGTAATATTATAATGATGATTTATTTTCTTTTTTTGTATAACAATTATTATTAATGAGATAGTGCACATTGTGTTTTTCAAATCACTTTGATATTTTTGCAGTCTGGCACAGATGAAAAGCCTGAGACAAAAAGAACAAAAAGTATCAAGAACCTTGTTCAAGAGGTATTTCTTTACTCTTAAGTTTTTGGGGATTACTAAGTCAATAGGTTAACCTTTGAAACATACATGTTTCAGATAATGTTTTGCTTTAGTGTTGTGATAAAAAAACCAAATTACACTCAAAGGCCAATCAGGCAAAAATAAATTATCTCTTTGAGTCTAGGAGCTTATGGGAACTCAAGTTAAAAGCAAGCAAATTGCCTTAGACATGGGAAATACTAGTGGCTAAGTTCACATTGGTTTTTTATCTGATTGGTTGAAAAAAAGGTAGCATATTAGGTTATTTTTTTTAGGAATTACAGAGCAAAGGAAATCAAACAGATACATTCCTGGATTAATCTTAACACTCAATGGAGAATTCCACTGTACAGACATGAAAGATGAAACACTTGTGAATTACTTTGTTTACTGAGATTTATTTTCATCAGAATTGTTAAAAATATACAGAAACTTATCAAAGCTAATATTTTAAATTCATTGATGTCTTTAGCTTTCCACAAATTGTCTTATATGATTGAGTTAATAGTGTTGCCATGTGGAGATTACAGTAGTTCTTTTTTTTATCACTTCCTAAACAGAAAGAAAATCAATGGTGCTTTTTAATGAATTTTAGAGTGCAACTCTGATGGCTAGGTGTAGGTAATGTTTTATATCCAAGTAAACACTTTAGACAGTTTTACCAGCAAGGCCTTTTGCAGTAACTTAGACATAGAAAAAGTGAAAAGAAAGAAAGGAAAAAGCCAAATTCAAACGAATTAACCATAAGCTATAGTAAGTTTGTTTGTTTTTCAGCCTTATCAGCCATTTGGAGGACGCCAAGGTGGGGGAGGAGCTCCAAACAGAACAGAATCAGGGCATGTTGCTGCAGGATTCCGTGCTGATCCTGAACTGAGATTTCCAAGGCATGCATCCAAAGCTAACGTTGATCCAAACCTGGTGAGTGTGACAATTTGATAATATGCAATCAACTTCAAGTGGTGAATGTACAGTCTATTGTTATTATTAGACTGTTTTTTAAAGTAGTTCATGATGAATGTTATAAAAATTACTGACAATAAATGTTTAAGACACAAGTAGACCAAAACTTACTTTACATGGGTAGAGCCAATAAGAAGCAATCATTTTTTTGAAGTCAATAATGTAAATCTGACAACAGTAACTATCATGTCATGTTTCAGAGATATGCAGGAAGAGATGAACGATATAGGCAAGACCTAGGTATGTTGACTTTCTCTGTTAAACTTTTGTTACTTGTATTGATTAACTATTTTTAAGATTTACTGTCATTATTTAAAAATGTCCTGCACAGTAATGTTCATTTTAAAACATCTTATTCTGTTATTTTCTCAGACTCAATGATTGAAGGTTCAAGAAATATGAAGACTCTTCAACGGGAAAAGAGCAAAGAGGATGAACTTCAGCATGTGCGTGAGCCCTAATTAACTCCCACAACTGATTAACACTGAATTTCTCTTTTCATAAAATCTGTGTATTTTCCAGCAAAAAATGAATTATGAACTAACTTGAAAGAAATTTCTTTAAGTTAATGTTTGATGTAACTGAGCTTTTATTAAAATATTGAAATCCGCTTTGAGTTACATTGATTTAAGTTTCTTACAGTCAGAAAGATATTGATTGAAAACACAACACTCACTGGTTCACCTTCATGGGACTGAGATACTTTAGAATGACTAGTAAAAGAAATGCAAAAATGTTTAAAAAAAATTAACTTCTGATTTTTCTTTTTGTAGTTGAAGACAGATCCATTTGGAAGAGAAGGAGCTGGTGCTCCACGCAAAACAGGCTCAGGTAAACATGAAAGTTTATTTGCATTGTTGATTTTCAGTCCTCTTCAGTCTGCATGGGTTAGGGTAAGGTTATAACTACAGGAAAGAGGCAGAAAGAGAATAAACAAGAGGAATTACAAAGAGGTACCTAGAACCTCCTATTGGCCTCTTTTTGTTGTAACTCTGCCAATCAAAATCTTATTGTTATTGTTGCAATGTACATGTTGATACTGACAATAAAAACAATAAACATGAAACATACTAGTGCTAATTTGGGTTCATATTAATATCAGAAATAAATTTCTATGTCAGTTTTTTGGTGAACTGCATGTGTAAAGAAATTGCATCAAATTGAAAGAAATGGGAATAAATCATGCAATTTGTGGTGTTTTTATTTTTTTTCCTCTGTGATGTATAAAATTTGTTGTATTTCCTGTTAGGAACTGTTAAGGCTGCTTATCCTACGACGCTGTCAAAAGATATTGAAGAACTTCGAAAAGGGCAACGCAGGAATCCATTAACCCTTGACTTGAATGAGACAGGTTTGTGTCTTTTCGCAATGCTCATTTTTATTATAGACACAGTCCTCCTTGAGCAATTTTCCATTGAATTTCAATAATTAACTAGGGAAAGCCTTGTATTTGCTATTTGATTGTTTCAGAAAATCCACCAAAATTTCTCAACTAATCAGAATCAAAACTAAACCATAAACTATAAACTTAATCACTTGCATCTTCCCAGGCCATGTTGTGAGTAGTTTTCGTCTGAGTTATTTGTCAGACAAATTTTGTACTTAGTCTGCTATCCATAACAGACAGACAAGACACATGGGACAACCTTCAAATTCCATCCTGCACAATAGCTGCCATTCAGTGTGCCTTTTATTATTGGAGTGTGAAAATATGGAACAACCTGAACTAGGCCTTGAAACAAAATTTGTTACCTCTGCTGTTAATTAAAAGATTATTTTCAAGGAGAGAAATTAACCTTTTTTTTTGTTCAATTTTCAGATGATCGAAATCCTCAGGTGAGCAAAAATAACATATTTCTGTTCATGTTACTTGTAGTTAAAATTGTTTGCCCATTACTGCACTTACCGTGTAAGGATTCTGGCAAAGCTTTCTTCACGATTCATCTTCATCAGAAGCTACTATATAATTTCTTTTTTGGGGTCTGTAGGACAGGGGCCCACAATAATCTGCCCTCCAGGGCCTTCCAAGCTATTTCGATGAAGGTGGCCTGGGCTCCAAGTATTATAATGTGTGCACCCCGGGCAGCCCACCTCCCCACGTTCCAGGCATTAGCAACGCCTAGCGCTACTAGCGCACTGGTCCTTCCCATTTTCTCAGGAGTATTCTTGAGTTTTTTTTCCATTTCTTTTTCTATTATAGTATAATCCCTGGGGTCGCGGTCATGGAAACCCCCCACAATTTGATAGACAAGGACGAATGATTAAGCCTGTGCGCGAGAAGGAAGAGAATGAATTGGTATGTATAACCGATTCATATTGATAGTCTGACTCCATATCGTGAGATAAACAATAAAACATCTTGTAACATTATGTGCTCTTCATCATGTTATATACCAGGACGTGATCATATCCTCTAGTTACGCGATCTTAAGAACTTATTCCCGCAGGCTTCCTTTTTTATGTTAGAAATTATTTTCAGTGTCAACTTATCAAATGAAGAAAATCGTACAGCAGCCAAAGAGGTGTCGAATTTTTTATTTATCTTCTTTCATGAAAAAGAGGTTTTTTCGCTGACAGAGTTCTTACGCGCGGAAGTCGATTCTTCGAAAGGTGGTTCGCGAATTTAGTGAAGCTCAAGTTAATCTGTGTTTTAATCTCAACAGGAAGGTATTGGTATTGAAGCTAACCGTCCGGGAGGCGGGGCCCCTAATGTCGACAAGGGAGGAAAACTGAAAACAAGGAAAGCACAAACACTGACTAAGACTTCTAGTGGTCGTAAGTATTCCTTGCTTCGTTTTATCAGTCGAAGCCTTGCCAGATCAAATTTTGTATTTGTCTTCTTGATTGGTTGTAAAAAAAAAAAAAGAGAAATAGATTATTGAAATACCAAATTCTTCGTTTTCAAGTTTTCTTTTCTCTCCTCCTCCCCTTCCCCTGGCGGAGCAAGAGAGCGAGAAAGGGTAGGGAATAAGGGAGATCCTGGAACGAGGCTGATTTCGTACTGCATTTTTTGTTGATTTGTTTATAGATAAGTTGCAGTTACTGACAGTTTTATTATGTCGGTTGATTTATCTTTTATTTTATTGCAGAAACAATGCAACGCGATTTCAGCCCCTTGAACCAGCGTAACGTTTATGACCCCTGGGGAAGATCTGGTGCGGGAGCTCCCATTAAGAACTCGGATGGACAAATTCAAACTCGAACAGCAGGCCGGGTTACTCATGACTCAAGTGTACGTATGTTCGATGTCACGGTGTGAAACGAGAGAGCATGTTCTATTATTATTACTATTATTTTTAATATCATTATTATTTGTCTAATTTCGATCTATTGTCTGTTTGTGGATTGATTTACACTCGATGAAGTAAAGGAAACAGGGAGTGACAATCAGGGCGTCGTCTGGGGCATTTCAATGTCACTTGATTTATTCTTGGCTTTAGGAGGTAAAGGATCGCATAGATGTTAACTTAAACGTGGATGCCCCTGGAAACGTACTTTTTTTCGAAAGACTATTTATGAATAACGTTAGTGAAAGCGACATATCCCAAGTCCTGGAACAGAAACCCTCAACTCTGTTCCATCGCTTTCTCTTGTTTACACTCCCAAAAAAAATATATTAAAACTATTTTAAATCCCTTTTTGGCCTTTTCCCTGATTGACTTTGTACATTTTTTTATTACGTAATGTGTTGCTATTTTAAATGCGTTGGGTGCAATAGCGCTGATGTTAAATTTGTGTTTTTCCAACACAGTCGATGTCTCTAAGTGGCAAGAAAGACCCGCAAGCCAAGCAGGAACTTCTTACTACTTTACGTAAGTTTGCACCAAGTGTCTGTTATCTAGTGTTTTTCGGAGACCGTGGTGCGCATATCGTGGCAACTAATCAGGAAATTTTCAATTGAGAGCTGAAACTGAGTTATTTGGGTTTATGTTGGATTTGGTTGACTTCAGTTTGTTGTGGATCTTCAAACCTTTTTCTACCTGTCCCGCCAATTAGATGCAATTGCTCCTTGGTCGTTGGCGTTTTCCTGAGCCCTGGTCAGTTTGTTTGAATACTCATTGGCTCTTGGTGATATTTTCTTCTGCTCTGATTGCGATTACTTTAGTTTTACCACACTCTATCGAAATGCGCTTAATAATTTCAAATGATTCTTTTCACACGAAATCTTTCTTCGCATATGAGGCCTTCGAAGTCTTGGAAAATAAAGAATCTGTAAAGCTGAGTTAAGAGCGGTGTCCGAAAAAAAAAGCTCATTGAACGAATGCAGAGACGAAACTCCCTTTTATTACTTTTTTTTAAACAGAGAAAATGTCCGAGGAGAGTAGAAGCAGGCGCAAAGCTGAACATGAAGACTTGCTAACTGTAAGTCTTACTAAGTTTTTAGTTTTATTACACTGTGCGTGGTTTATCAAAAATGATTTTTGCCGCGACATACAGTTATACTGTTTGCTTCATTTTCGTTTTCCGTATTAATAATAAAGTAAGAATAGAAAGGAAACTCTCTGAGATGAATCGCTGCGGGATTCGTGTGGGGTCGTTGTGATCATCGAGTTACACTTCGGTACATCTTTTTGTGTGTTTGGTCGAATGTTACCTTCAAAAGAACGGTGTTCGTTGCTAGCGATGGGTTCGTTTCATCGGTGATCGTGTTTTTGTTTTTGTTTAGAGTGAAAAGGACGTTGCCTCTTGGTTGCGATCGGGTGTGGTCGGTCAGCCAAGTTATAATCCTACTACCAAGGAGATTATTGCTCAAAAGAAACAGACTTCAGACGTCACATCACAGGTACACACATATGCCTGCAAGAAAAACCTTTCCTTAAGAAGTAATATCTCAAGGTCATTATAGCGACGCTTGATCGCCGCTAGCTGGACCGTACGAATCTCACTGATCGACACAACAAATATCGCCCCAATTTCTTTCATGGAACGCCTCCTTTATTAAATGTCGTATTTGACCGTGAAGCTAAAATAATTGATTCACAAAATTAGGGACAAGAAATTAGCTATAGAAACACTCGAGGTAAATTAAACTTACATTGTTGCCGGATCTGGCGAGAGTTGACACAAAGGGACCTTTCCTTCCTTCGATAAAAACGACAGACAATTTCTTTCTATTAAACCACGAGTGCTTGCGAAATCGATCGAATTATTGAATTGCACAATAGATCCGTTCTGTTTGGAAATGCGATACCACTTACGGAACGCGTGACGAGGCACCTAGTGTGACTTTTACAGATTATTAATTAAACGATTGCTGAATCAAAACAAGGGATAAACCCGTGCCTTAGGGGCACTTACAGTCATATTTGTTAGGTGACTTGTCACACCACCAGAATTATTATTTGCGTTATGTCACACAAGAAGCGGAGACGCGTGACAACATGAACGACTGCGGCGAAGACGGCGAAGGCTCTGAGCTCTTACGGTAAATCTTACTGAAACTTTTGACACTACTGACCTTAAATTTAAATATATTTATATTTACGGCTAGGTTTTAAATATAAGAAGACAGAAAAATGAAAAAAGCCGTGAATATCACACTGACTTGGAAGCTCAAGCGCGGGAGAGGTATCAGAATCGTAAACAGAGTGAAGATCAACAGAGAATCAAGTCGGTAGAGGTACGTGACTGTCACGCCATTTAGGTTAGATTTGCGACACATGTGAATTTCACTCTTCAGTTTCTTTAGGAGTCATTACATACGTCCTTGAGGGTTAAGCTATTTAGTGGTTAAATCGCCATCCATGTTAATTTTTTCAGCATTTGAAGACTATGGACAGGATGTGGGGAAGGCCTGGGGCGGGAGCCCCTCTCGGACGAGAACACTTGGATTTTGCCCGAAAACAAAAACGTAAGTCAAACCCAGGTCCTTATTCTTCTCCCAAAAAGAAACGCGATGATTTGTCTAAAAAAGTAACGGTTTTGTTTGCGAAGAGGTGAGGGGAGGGGGGCAGGTGACCTCCGATAAACTTGCCTTCTTCGCATTTAGACGGAGAATTAAAACTCACAGTTTCAGATTTTGATTGGGAAGCAACTTTATTTAATTTAGTTGAATTTCAAAACCAACATCCCACACTCACTGCTTTGTAAAAAAAAAAAAAGTAGTCCTTTAGTGTGACGATCGGTCACGCAGATTGGTTCCTCTACTTGTGGGAGGTATACTTGTTGAGATACTTGGTAACACTTTCCTCCTCGTGACTTTTCTTTTTCCCCAGTTGGTCTTGTTCCTGCTGACTCGTCTTACACCTATAGAGACGCCTAGACGTTCGTCAAACACCCAAGTGTTTATTCAAAACAACAATAAACTTTGGTCTTGAAGAGGGAAAAAGGCAGCAAATAAGTTAGACTAATGTGCTCATATGTGATATTTTATTTTCATTAACAGTGTTTGTATGTACAGGAACTATATTTTTGTTAAATCTGTGCATATTTTTTTTGTATTTTAATTGGAATCCGATCAATTGCGCTACACAGCTTACAATGTAACTTATTGTATTTATTAATTTACTCGCAATCATTGATATATCGTACTAACGTATCACAAAAGCGTTGGTTTGTCAGGATAATAAATAAAGCACCGAATATAGGGGCAATAAAGTGTCATTCCTCTTGGATGCTGAGATAGATTATTGTAAAACGTGTCATAGTGAAAAGATCATGACCATTGTGAAATAAACTGTCCATATGCCATGTGTCGTTGATTAGTGCAGATACAAGGTTCAACTTTCCGTAGGACCTCCCACACATCATGATGCAGTCATAACATTAAGAAGACTGCAGCCGAACATGCATGGGAGTGGAATTCGCAGTCCTTGTTTTCCCATGATAGTTTGGAGTTTCTTATTTGCTCCTTGAAAATATTTTGACACGTTTCCTATAGTTCAAATTTTTCTGGTTTCCCTCGGCAAAAAAACTCGGCACCAAGTCCTCTCTCCACAGAAACTGTGGTGCTGCGTCGGTGGGAGAGTTGACTACAGCTGACGTAGTCCTCTATCAACCAGATTACAACTTCTAGCGAGACCTGTAGCGAGACAGCTACGAAGAATTCTCAAAATGATGCTCTCAGGCTATGAACCAGAAACCACAACGATTCCTACCAATTCACTACTTGAAAGACGTCGTTGTTTATTTAAAAAAAGTGACTTGGAGAGAACTCCACAAGAACTCGAGCCTTCCGGTATACCGTCGGTCTTCGCGCTTCGTATACTTATGGACTTAAAGGATGATAACATGGTATGTTACTGGCTCTAAGCTAGAACCCACAAAGCGCTAAATGATGCCATCATAGCGGAGGCCCAAGTGCGCGGAACATATAATGTCCGCAGACGGCTATCCGTGCTTAAAACCCACCCATTAATTTTCGTGTGATTCCATTGGTTATTATATAATAAGCTCAGTTATGCATGCATTCTGATTGGTTCTCACTTATGATCTATTGGAGGACAGACGTATAGATGACGTCATCATTAAAATTTTTTCCGTATATTTTAATTCTTTATTATATAAAACAAATAGATTCCAAGTTGCCGTGCGTCTGTTCAGAAATAGATCACAGAGGACGTCAAGAACATCAGTGACACACTCGGCTGCGCCTCGTGTGCCACTTTTTTGTTCTTACCACATTTTGACGTCATCTGTGATCATTACTGAACAGACGCACCGCAACTTGGAATCAATTTGTTAACTGTATGTTACATTGTATAGAATCACTGGAAAGTCATCACGCAATAACCCCTGCTTACGTCAATACATGTCCTTTGATAATTTCTGTTGAAAAGTAACAAAGCCAGCAGAAAAAAGCCAGCTTAAGAGTATCATTTTTTCATCTTTATCACTACCTTTACGTGGAAGAAAAACGAACTCGTTCTGTTTCCATATTTAGATTCCTTGAAGGCCTCTTTGTGACGAACCTTTTCCTTTACTTTCCTGGGAATTTAAGACAACTGAGACAATTACATGCATTTAATGTACTACATGAGAAACAGCCTTCTTTGCCAAAACTTTATTTTGAAAGTACACTTTGAATGCAAACCTAAATAATACATAAGCCAAGGAAGCCAGGGGCATAGCCAGCCAATAGTCCTCTGAGCCCAGGACTACAATTTTGTTTCAACCTTCCTGACTATTATAAAACAATGCTTGCAAATTTCTAAATGAAAATTGAGCTTTCTTAGGGTACAGGCCTGCAACAAGTGGAAAAGCTGACTATGCCCCTGCCAGCAATGTCTAAAAAGATAGCTAATAGGAAAACTAAAGAATCATTTCAAACTTTCACATTCTTCAAGGATGATGAAAACTTTCAAATGGTGCATGCAGAAACTTTAAGTTCTCAGTAGTACAATGGTTGGCTATTACCACACCCAAAATATTGGTCTCTCCATCAACAACTTTGCCATCAATATGGAATTAGTAAGTTAAACATTTGTTGTTAAAGAGGAGTCAATGAACCTGTGAAAAAATTATTTACTATCCAAGACTATAGTTAATAATTATTGGCTGGTATGTAACCACCAAGTAAAATCTGCTTTTAAAACGCTATTGTTTTAAGTTATACTATAGTACTGGACAGGCATTTACTTTTGTTGTCCTCAAAACTGCACATCCTTGATTTCTTACATATATTACTAGATCAAAGATGACCACATCCATTTACGCGCATTGAGAAAAATGATCTTTATTTGTTGGATGTTGTCTTTCTCACACATGATGCAGAGCTAGTCTGAACATGTCATTGAGAACAACATAATTTCTCATTTGTGCTGTCTGTGGCCTCAAGTGAAAACATTGGCTGAAGCTATGAGGATGGTCATTGTCTGTCTAGGAAAAGAAACAAACACATACAATCTTGGTCAAACCTGTTATTAAAGATACAACAGAGTAAAAAGTGGACAGTAACTACCTTGTGAGCACAAAGAAATATTAAATAAATACTTTGGGCTCAGTACCTTGAGTTGTCCAACAACAAACACCAAAACTCCATTATCTGTACTTGGCTGACAATCACAGGTGGTTATTACATGTTGAACAGTGCTAAATGGTAGTCCCTGCAAAAAAATCAAGAGTCTCCTCCTTAAGGATATGCAAGACCTTCAATTTTTAGGGATTTTTTTTTCATATCATAATAAGCATTAATATCTTAACTACAGTCTTCTGTAGACTTCTGTTTCTTGGTTAAATACACACAATATGAAAATTGATAAGCTTGATGAGGTAACAATCCTCTTTGGTATTTCCGATAATAACCCTGGGAATTGTTTGTTAAATCACATAATCATTCTTGGAAAATATACCATTTATTCATGTCGTTGTAAAAATATCAAGCCATCTGTATCCTTACTGAAGGCTAAAACATCTGAAACTCAGAAATTTGAATTTTTGATTGCAAAAAAGAATAAAAAAGAATCTATTCATTATAAAAAATGGGAAAACATGTTATTGTAACTCAATAGATGAGTATCGGGTATTAACAGTTATATATACAGTCGTTCTACCAAAAAAGGAATTTGATGTAGAAGTATTTGTACAAATTAAGCTTATATTATTATATAACCACAACATAAATTAAATTTAGCCGACTGTGAATGTAATGTAATGTAGTATTCCGTAATTAGTGTTAGTGAGTAGCATAAGCGTTAGGGTAATTAACTTTGTATTTGTTTGTATTACTCTAGTATTTGTGCTTTAAGCGAAAATAAAAAAAAAATGTTAAAAAAAACAAAAAAACAAAAAAACAAAAAAAACTACAGTCTTCTTATGTAATGTGTAGCCGAAACATTTTGATCAGCAAACTTTACAGATAAATTGCAAAGCAACCAATAAGAAATTTACAAAATCCCCCCACAGTTTTGAAGACCAACCCCTTAGGGTTGAAATTGTGAAGAGATTCTATTTGTGTGGTCAGATTTGATTTATCAACTTGCTCAAAGAAACATTGTCCATTGCACCCCATTTGGTTTATGATTAGATCAAGCTTAAATGCAATAATTTTTACAGAATAGTGCATTTCATAACCTTTCCACTAATATACAGTTTATGGTGGTTATGCTTCCAATAACAAGTTAATTTTTTTTTTTTGCAAAGGACACCTGCAGAGGACTTCTGTGTCCTGAATTGTTCTCAAGACATGGAATTCCTAAACACAGTCTAACAGTAACAGTGTAGTTAAAAAATATAATCTTTCCCCTCTCTTGAGTCACCCTGGGTCTATGGCAAAATATTATTTCCTCTGAATTGTGAATTTTCAAATCAGTTTTGAATTGTCAACCTGTTTCAGGATATTTTACATCAACTGGGGCATTTTTTTCCAAATAACAGGATAAACAAGTGATTTACATGAGGAATGTAAAACCCATTTAATATTAGCCACCTACACATATTAACAGGCAAAAAGTATATTTTCAACTGGATCTCACTATGTACAGGGTAATTTAAGCCTTAAAACTTACTACAAGTTTCTTTATTATGTCATCTCTTCCTTGGAATTGTTCTCCTTCAAAAGTCAACATGGATGTGCTTTCCTTTAGAAGAACATCAACAACTTGAAAAAAATATCAATTGGTAACAACTAA